CTGAAGCCCCTCCCCTCCTCCAAAATGGTAAAATATAACTATGTCTTATGAAAAAAATATTTAATAATTACCTCTAAAAGCATCATTGTTCATATAATTATATTTAATAGTACTTAAAGAATCGCTTAAACTCTATTTCATATAGGCAGTTCGTTTCTTTCATTTTCTTCCTAAGAAATTATCGTTATATATTTTTTTAAAAATTCTTTCGGGCTGAAGCCCCCTCTAAAACTAAATCCTGGATTCGCTAGTGGTTGGTAGTAAATCATTCAAATTGAACGAATCACTAAAAACTTATAAAAGTATGAGCATTTATAATTTAATAGACTTACTGCTAGAGACAAGAGGAAAAAGTATTAAATTGTTGAAAAAAAAAGAAACAGAAAAGTCAGAATTGATGAATAAAAACCTAAAAAAAATTAAATCGTGTATAAAATTATTTTATTTTTATGTAATCACCTTTGTAACGCATTTCCTGGTAAATATTTTTTGATCGGCTGTTTATTTATTAATATTCGTTTAGGAAAAAAATCTATATTCAAAATTCAATATTAATTTGTCGATATAGAAATATCGGAGAATATCATAATATGTATATAATAATCATATTTCATATATAAATATTAATTTTCTGATATGAATTTTAAAATAAAAATCGTGGAGACTGAAGCTTCACTTACAAGGAGAGGCTACAGTCAATGGGTCACCGATGTCAACCAATTTTTTTTTGGTGATACTACATCGAAATAAATATTGGACACATGTCCCGCCGTTCGTTCTAATGGTTCCTAGGAGCCTCGAGTGACAATGTTTTATAAATTACAAAAACCAAAAGGCACTTCGAGTGCAAAAACCAAAAACCAAAAACCTAAAGGCACAAAAAACAAAACTTTTTGTTTTAAAAAAGATCCGTATTTATTGTCCATTGAAACTCTTAAATGCGAATTTTAATAGAAATAAAGAAATTCAAAACAAAGTCAGCGCAGTCTTTTATTTTCAGCATGTTAAAAGTTGATTAAGCACCATATTTTTGCAGACTGAAAAGTGAGTTGAAGATTAAAGATTTATGGTAATTTAAAGAATTTTTCTTCATAATCAATTTATGTAGCAGTTGAATGAAGGAAACAGAGGGAAAGTTGTCTCAGCAAAAAAACAAATTAAATATTTTTACTTAATCTTTAAGATAAAAGTCAATCGAAATTTTCCGCCCTCAAATTCTGTACGGGGCAAGTAGTCACTTTGCGCTCTCGTGTTACAGCACCGGCTCTGTATCATACTTTTGGTTTACGATTTTATGTTTTTTGACGGTTAAGGTTTTGGAGATTTTTTTTATTTCCACTTATATAAAATTTTTACATTATCTTGTTCTTAATTATGTATTATAACACTAATAACGTTGCTTATAAAAACCTGTTAATACGACATTAAAAGTTTTAAAAAAATCAAAAAATTGCCTATGATTGAGGATCACTTTGACCGTTTTTTTTTTAATTTATTTATTCATGATATTTACAACTATATTGAAATATAAATACCTCTAGTAAATTTGTACAAAGGAATATAATGATATGAAAACGGTTGTTGAGAAAATACCCACAGGTAACACTCTAATAATACTCTACATAAGCCAGTGCCGGCCTTAGACACCCTCCCTCTTACAAAAAACTGACATAAGGAGATCACGAGGCCATCAGAGCTGTTTCAGAAGTCTTGGAGGTTTATCTGGGCTCGAGGAGGAATTAAGGTTAGAAACGAGAGGGTTCGGATGGAGGGTTCTGAAGTTTGTTATGGAAGGATAGGTATCTGGATTGGAACATATGGGAAACATATGGTCATTAAGATCTTTATATGACAAAGTAAGAAGTATTGAGGATTTCACGAAGGATTTTGGATTGTAAGGATTGGATACGGGAGGAATTCGGCCTTATTAAAGTCGTGTAATATATATATATATATATGAGCTTTTGTCTAGTAAGTTCTGCAGTAGTCGGAAACGTGTTGGGCAGTTTCTTGTCGTTTTAGTCTTGAATGAGGATTCCAAGTGAAGCGTTCGTCCATGTGCAGTTTTAGGTATCGGATTTCATCTACAGGGATAAGTGGATCATTATTAAAGGATACTTTAGGACAGGAAGTAATGGATTTACGACGAAGTGTAAGGGTAATTTTTGATGGGATTTATTGGGATAAATTTTAATCCTCCAGATTTGACACCATTCTTCAAGGTTTGACTGGTTTAAATGAAAAATATAGAGGCATAAAATATTCTTAAACCACGTACTTTGTTTTAACCGGAGTTTTTCTGCAATTTATTTTAATAATGACATTCCCCCAAAAAATATCAATTATTAATTTCTTTAATTATTAAATTATTATTTTTTTTACCCACACCTTCTTTAGATAATACAATAAGTTGAACTTCTAATGAGTCAATGAACTTCAAAGTTGGGTAAATTTAAAATAAGATATATAGCTACAAAACCAATCATAGATTCGTATATTCAAAAATTTGAACCAGCTCTGAAACCTTAATTTTTTTTTCAAGATATCTTTATAAAAAATACGACGATACGAGATTTTTTTATAATAAAATTGTCTACAGAATCAAAATTTCCTCTCGTATTTTACGATTTAACGAATTTGGTTCTATTATTGTTTATATGTCTGTAGTAAAACTCAAGTGACAGGTATATTTACCAAATACCGTTAATCCGATTTCGACGACATTTTTAGTGGTTGTGTAGATTGGGGTCTAGATGGTTCAATATAAATTTTCTTAAATATCACAATCATTTTCCACGAACAATCCTTTGTACAAATGTTCGTGTCCACATCAGGTGAAATGAAGTTCTTAGCTTGGTAATGATCACTTATTAAGATCCCATCTTGTGTGCTGCTTTAGTCTCTGTGTTCAATCCGGAAGTGACATGTGAAAAAAAATAAAAGAATGTGGTGGATCAAAACAGTTCAGAAAAAGATCCGAATATCATATTTCTCTCAAATTTTAATTAAAACCGAAAATTGGACTTGGCAATATTTGATTTGGTCCAAAAATATCATAAATTAAAGCAGGAAAATTTGATCAAATGAAAAGTATCGCTCCTTTAGTTCAGGGGTCTCCTAACTTCTTGGCTAGCGCGCCGCATTGGAACATCCATCAAGTCCAGGGGAGTTGATTGAGACCTCCACTAATATGAGTACCGCGGGCCATGAATTGTGATAACCAAAACTTCTTCCATGACAGTTCAGTAGTGATATAAACTTTCTAGGAGAAACAAGTCATAAAATAAATGTTGTTGTAACCTCGTATTTGGATGATTTACTAAATTTCATATTTTTGTTTATTATTTTCAATAATTTAACCCCCTCTCAAAATTTGAGGTTTCACGTTTCAGGATGCGTAGAATTCGAAAAACGAATAAAATTTTTTTTGTCCGTCCGCCGTCCGCGCATTTTTTCCGAAACTACTGGACCGATTTTTTTCAAATTTTGATATAAAATCAGAGGTCACCCAAGGATGATCCTCCTTCATCTACATTATTATCCGCCTTTTACTTTCAAAATGGCGGCCGAAAAACCTGCATTGCTATAGACTGTAGCGCCTAAACGATGTAGCGATTTCAATGAAACTTCGCTAAAGTCATTTTCTCTAAACCCTTTAAATTTATCTATATAAAATACTTCCACGAAAAGAAACTGGAAAAAAGTTGCGAGGGATGGTAAAATTTAATTCCGAATAACTCAAAAAGTATACACTCAAACCACACTCTACTCATACAATTGTTGTTCTTCCCTTGGTAATTTTAACTCTTCACTATGAACAATCTTCCTTTTCTTGTCGTCCTTCAAGCTTTGAATTGTGAGAATATTATGTTCTCGAATTATGATCACCCAGAATGGTCACTCATAGCGCAGCAACTTCTTCCCTCTATTGGACCTTACTCTCCGATATACTGTCATCCCAATTTTCATTTTCCCCATCCCATCCTTGATTTTCACGTTCACCTTTTCTACTCTTTTACCTTCCCCGAGACTTTTCATATTTCTTTCCTCTTATTAACTATTGTTCGTGTCAGTTGCTCATCGGAAACAGTCTCCATTCAATCCTGTCTCCGTATGTTTACACCAAATAACACCTCGACAGGTGAAAACCCCGTGATTGAATGAATGATGCGAATACGTGTTGTATGCTGCTACTGCTTTTCTCAAAAAGTTTACAAAATCTCCTAAAAACCAAAAAAAAAATTTTTTAAAGCAATTACAAGCAAAGATATGGTCTCCGGTTTTTTTTTTTTACATGTTCTACTCCAAATGTTATATCCTTTATTTGATTTTTAAATTTTGAATGTGTTACTGAAGTAATGCTATTTTTTTAGCATATTACTAATGATTAAAAAAAAAGTTTAGTCCAGTAATTGGAATCACCTTTTATTTATTTTTCTTTGTAACTAGAAGGTAATGTTACTTTAGATGTATAATTGTTTGGAAATAATAAACCATTGTGGAATAATTTGCAGCGGTTTTTAATTTAAATAGTTTTAAAAATTTTACCATGTAATCAAAGGAACTTTCCCGGGGAGGTGCTCGGTGGTAGTTGTGAGCCGTAATTTGGAGACTGCTGCATTAGTTTAACCATCTTTAATTCCCTTAAAATAAAACATCTTTACTTTAGCTTTAACAATGAACAGTATGGATCGTGGAAAAAAAGTGATATTTTCTTAAGATAAAGCTAAGAATTGATATAAAATGTGCTACAATTTTATCAATGGATGTTTTCAAAAAACCCTAGTTGTAACTTCTACTTCTTTGCCTAAGATGACAATTCCTCATCTATGTAATAGATGATTTACCTATAAGAATGGTAACCTGGCACTCGCTGATCATAAGTCAAAGCTGACACTCTTACTGACTCGCAGGCTGACTGAAGAGATAACGGGGGGGCGTACCCTTGCTATCTGGCAGCCTGTGCCTCCTGAATCGATAGTTATGACTATATGTTTCAGATGCAGAACAGAAGGGACGAAGGCCCGTCTTGGCTCCAAGCCCCTTCGCCCTTCAACACCCCACCGCCCACCGGTGAGTGTACCAGAGCAGGTATAACTTTTATATATCACTATTTACTGTCATATTATCATATTATACTATTAAACATTTAGTCATCAAATGATTTTTTTTAAAACGAAAACATATATATATATTAAATTTCATAATAGATAAATATTAAATTTGACTAAAGTCTAGATCAACTCAAGAACTGAGCTGAACATTATCTTTTTTTATTATAAATATATAAGTCTTATATTTACTGTACTATAAACAGATGACACACCATCTCAGTTTATAATTAACATCATTATCATAAAAGAATGAACGCAGGTATGAAGTATTATTTAGTATTTTTTTTTTTTAATTCAAGAACGGATCGAATATGTAATCCCAATATTTTATTTCAAATAATATAAACATACTGTTAAACCATAAACAAAAATAATAGAGACTTCAAGCGTAAACCATGAATATCCTGTGATTAAATTGATTTAGTTCTCTATTGATATTTAATGCGGGCAGCGTCGTACTGGTGCGAGATACATTTTCATTACGAATGACATTAATTATGCTTTAATTGAGTTGTTTATAACTGTATCTAATACACAAAAATCAATAAGTAACGATATAATATTTAATCTAATATATCGATATCATGTTTTATTACAAGACAAGTATATCTACCTTAAAATATATATTTAGAGCAAGAAAACGTCTGCTTGAAAATTCTTCCTGGGAGTTGCGAATTATTTTTTTCTGTTACCGTGTTTTTTTTTTTCTTAAGTAGAATAGTCACTTCTAAAGTGTTTTTTGGTGAATAAAAAATTAAATATTGGATACCAAAATGGGACTTGAGCCCAGGAAACCCTGAAGTGGATATTTGTTCGAACACATTTGACTATCGTGCCATCGAATCAACAGGTAAATACATACATGTCTTATTATTATTTCTTAAATAGGATCTTTTAACAGTAGGTGGGATCACGAATCCGGGAAAATTAAAGCTATTGTTATATCATATCTTAATAATGAAAATTAAGGTTTCAAAATTAATTAATCGTATGTGGATGTGCAATGGTAAATAGGCTTCTGCTCGATTTGAAGGAGTTGGAACTGGTGCTTGGAACATTCTCATTCCAGATGATGTACTTACAGTACGACCATGACGAACTAGAAAGGGGTTTTCAGTGGTAAAACATGTAGAAACCCTACTCCAGTTCGTCTTAACTGGAGAAGAATTGGAGAAGCGCTTTTTGTTCATACTGAAGTGTGGATATGTCTCAGTACGTCCTCTCAGTCACATATGCCGTATTTCTCATCAAACCACAAGATACTTTCTCCAAATATTTTTTTTTTCAAGTTAGTTTAAAATTGTAAAATACGATATTAACTATATCTGTGATAAATGTAAAGGAGGAATAAGATGTTTACAATAAAAATAGTCTATTTAAGCAAGTCATCCACTAGGTTTTCACTGCCGTTTTACACCTGCCTACTAAAGTTACAAGTTTGTACGAATATTCAGTTAAATGGTGCAATTGTGTGGATGTGAGCCGATTCAGTATAATATTCAGAAAAAAAGCTAGAATTAATTATATCAATTTGAATTGTACAATTCAAATAAACATTTAAAACAGTGTCTCAATTCTTCAAAAGAATAAATCAGTAGCCGACGTTAAGGAAAATCGTCGCTTCCCAGCGCATTAATATTCCTCCATCTATGTAAATATCAATTAACACACAAAATGCGCATCGCCATCTACAGCCACCGTGTGTGCCCCCAAAAATTGCTACAACAAGCCGTAAGTACTTGCAATGAGATAATTCAACAGGTGGAAAATCTATATATCGAAGTGAATCCAGTTAAGTCGGACTATGAAGTGTTTTCTCACCGAAGGGGTAAAAAGGATAGACTGCTGAGAACTCTCCGAGTGGCGAAAAACGAAATTAAACCACCAAACTCCTTATATATATATATATATATATATATATATATATATATATATATATATATATATATATATATATATATACATAAACTCCAGATATACATCTGAGCATAACTTTGGAACAACACCTCCATCTAACAACTTGCATTCAGGTATAGAAAAGATCGGTCTTACCGTCTGCACCATCTCCTCAAATCCTCAGAAGGCCACACTAAGACTACTACTCATCTACGGCGCACCGTTTTTTATACATCTCAGCGAAAACACGCATCGGCTTTTGCAATTCCATAACACAATGCTTTATAAGAGAATCAGGACAACAGTATGGAAGAAAAACCTACTCTCCACAACATACCGGATATCCCATCGATCCCGGAATTCATCAAGAGGAGGCACGACAAATTTCTAGGTTTACTTAAATATCTCCCTGACGTACTCTATATGGCAGAATACACCACGGGAAAGTGACAGACGTTCACGATCGTATATTGTAGAATATTAGTCTTATATTAGTTTAATTTCAATTATGAAAAAAAACTTATCTTGTAATTTAAGAATGGCAGAAAACTCAATCTCAAAGTATCTTTAAAATGAAAATCTGTCTTAGAAAAAAGTTAAAACTCCTACATAATAAACTTCCTAACATACGTATATTTGAAATCGGAGGTTTGGAAAAAAAAAAAAACTTCTTAAAAGCTAAAAACCCTCAATTGACATTGTCAACTATCTGTTTTTCGTTTGGGTTGTGACAATAAAAGAAAACGTTTTGACAAACGAATATGGTTATATTGGGTTGGCAAATAAGTCCTATTGTTTTTTTAGGGTGAAATAAAACTCAAGGTATTATAGACATAAAATTTATTTTAATCAACAATATTGACCATTATTTAATATGACTTTTTCCCATCTTTCCACTAACTGCATAATGCCATGTTCATAGAATGTCTGGAGTTTATTGTTAAAAAACTGATCCAAGTGGTTTTTGATGTCCTCTTCCTTTTGGAATTTCTTTCATTCATGGAGTTCTGCAGAGACCGGAATAAGTGGTAGTCACTTGGAGCTAGGTCTGGTGAATAGGGAGGGTGGGGCTAAAGGTCCCATCCAAGGCTCAATAATTTATTGCGAGTGACCAATGAGGTGTGGGCCCTAGTGTTTCTTGGTGAAACACAACAAACTTCCGATCATTCATAACTCTTCCAACGTGTTCTCCAAATTCGATGTTACTATATCCGTTGGAAAGCTGAATTATTGCTCTTCAAAGCCGTATGAATGTTTTTTTTTTATTTAATACCTACATAAGGAATAAATAAATAGAAACTCCTTATAGGTTTTTATTTTTTATCTCCATTTGTAGTTTGTTTACGAAGGTCCTGTTGATGTCATTTTTGTAGTTTATGTGGTCCTAAATTCCTGGTACATTTATTGTAGATAGCTTAAGTCTTATTGAAGTTATAATATTTTTTTGTAATTTTCGAAAACAAAAATTCATGTGAGGGACCCAAACATTAAGCCTGGAAACATAGCCGAGCTTCTGCAAATGATTTTCTACGCTTGTGTGCGACACATTTAGGGCCATAGCAATCTCTTGTACTGATTGGATGGGATTTTGATCAACGACTGCCTTAACATTGTCGTTTCAATATCATGTGGGCGACCAGACAGTTGAGCATCAATGATGTCAAAATTTCCTGAATGAAATTTGGCAAACCTATTTTGACATATGCATTCGGTTAAGGCATCATCAAATTTTTCTATGAGCTTCTGCAGCACGCTTACCTTTTTTAAAATAATACAACAAAGTATGCCTATAATGAATGACATTTTGTTCCATATTCACAGTGCAATAGCTAGCAAACACAATACTAAGTTAGTTTCAACAAGAGTTTACAGATATAGTTGTTGACGTATTACAAACAGGATAAACAATCCACCTTAGGGATTAATTCATCAGATAAGAAGTGTTTGATAGTGACATAAAAATAAACAGTAAAACCGAAAGGACTTATTTGCCAACCCAATAAAAGACAAGCTGCGTCGAACAGCTGTGGTAAAATAAAATTACTACAAAGCCATGGGGCAGCCAAAGGTGAATAAGTGGTCGTTCTTGCCAACCACACAAGGCCCACTCCTCCTACTAATTTTAGTACACCAAGTAGCAGTACCAGTACCAGTACTTCCATTTTGTTATGTTTGATTACTTTTTATTTATTTAAAACAAGTATTGAAAGATTTTTCGTTTAATCTAAACTCTGTTATTGAGAAATCCTATTATTACAAAATCTCAATTGTTGAAACAAATATATGAAAACTAAATAAAAGTGTCTTTTACTAAATATATTATCGGGGTCTTATTTTGATTTATTTTATTTTTTGAAAATAGTGGATATTCAATTTTATTAATTGATTCATTTATACCAATATTTTTCTTATTAATCTTCCATAAACTTTGATAGTTCTTTCTATAATTTTCTACGTTATAGTATGAAAAGGAATACAACTTAACGTAAATCGAAAATTTAACTGTTCATCAAAGATGATTTTTTATTTAAACAGTTAAATAAAATAATATACATCTAGGAAATATCTTTAAGAATGTTTTAAACAGAAATTTGTATGTTAAAGGTGATTCGGTGGAATCGATATCCGAACTGCTGCATGTGAATATGCCTATCGCAGCTAGGACAGGATGGGACCATGCCCATTTCCTCCATCAACAGGTATTTACTCGAATAAAATCATAAAATATTAATAATTCACTCTGCTTTACAAATGTAACAATTAAGTTTAAACTATCCAGACGATTAATCGGAATTTAAATATTAAATGAATGTATATTCTTCCATTGAACAACCTGGTTTATTATATTTCAATAAGTACTGGAATTTTACTGAATCACACAAGCAATTGGTGTCAGCAAAATAATTCCATTTTTGTTTTCCTTACTTGAAAAGCAGCTAAATGATGTAAAGGCAGAAGGCACTAGTGGATCCAGGATTTAATTTTGGAGGGGGCTTCAGCCTGAAAGCTTTTTTTTCATAAAAATGACGACATTTACTTTGGAAAAAAAGAAAGAAACTAACTATCTATATGAAATGGTGTTTAAGTGATTCCTTAAGTCCTTTTAAATGTAATTACATGAACAATAATATTTTAAGAGATAATTTTTTTCCATAAAACATGGTTATAATTTATCATTTTGGGGCGGAGGTGGCTTCAGTCCGAAAGCCCCGCCTAGATCCGCCCGTAGTAGAAGGCACCAGTTCATATATCTTCTTCCGTACCACACAGTTCTTTCCAAATTTGAGGCAAATCGAACCCGCGTTTTTAAAGATATGGACGTATCAAGGAAAATACCTTTGCGGATATATAAAATAAAGTAGTCGACAGAATTCAATAAAATTAAAACTACATTAGTTTTTTACGAATACCTACCTTTTGTCCAGCTTTGATCCAAATCGAACAAGCCATTTCTAAAATGTTGGCATATCTATAACACTAAGTTTGCGCATGCGTAAGCGAAAGTGTTGGATGGAATTTGATGAAATTGATATAGAACCATCTAGACACCAAACCGCACAATATATAAAAATTTCATGAAAATCGGATCAACGTTGGTAGGTGATACGCCCGTTACATCGATGTAATTAAATTTATTTTTTATTGATTACAAAATCTTTATTTCTCACAATGCTATTTTAAGTCGTTTTTCACTTTCACTCTTACTCACATTTAGAAGTCGTGTACGCAACAAGAGAGACTCTTTGAGGCAAAAACGACCACAGTAGGACCCACTTCTCGGACGGTTCAAGTCCTTCCTCCAAAATGGAATTTTTTTTTTTCATCTATCGGTAATTCTTATTATGAATGATGTAAGCTAAATACTTGAACAATCGCAACATGTTTTATTGTTTAAATTATAATGCTTATACAGCTAATGAATATTGTTAGTTTATTATTATTATGCTTTAATATTAATTTTTTAATTTAAATGCTTTAAAATAAAACCTTTCAGACTGAAGTCTCCCCTAAAAAAAGTAATTCTTGGATCCGCTACTGCTTCTAGATATCCTTTTTTTGTAAATCATATTTTTATTATTACTTTTTAAAAAATTAATTACCACCCATTCATATGAAGTAAAGAATAGACCCTTTCGATGCCTCTATCATTTTATATTTTTGTTTGATAGAACAGAAATTGAAATTCTGTTCGATTTATGAAACAATTTTTCTAAAAAAAATCCAAGTTATATAGATTTTCGTTATGAAGGTTCGAGATACAACAGAGGTTCGGCTGTATGCAAAACATAGATAGAAAGCAACGTTTTGAATTTAACTGGAAGATGTATAGCTACTAACCTTTTAGATTCAAAGTACTTACCATTCTGAACAGATCCGCAGATATGAAATCGAAAATTTCAATTTAAGTTGTGAAATTGAGGGCGATAATTTAATCGGGCAATAAATGGCTGATAATTGGTCCTTTCGTCAGGCCTTTTCCATTGTTTAAATAGAGAAATAGGTAGTAGTAAACTTTTCGTAATTATGTGGAAATTAATTAATTTTAAATAAATTTAAAATTATTTTAAAACTGACGACAAAATATCGTTTGATATGATATGGCCTTATATTGAGTTCAATTTATTGAAAATCCGATCCATTTACCTCTCGGTAAATTCTATCAAATTAAGGGCCGTCAGTTTTAAAATAGCACCCGACTCATAATCAGGGCCATGGGGTACAAGTACCTCAGAGATAAATTTTCTGGGGCATCCGTCAAATATTAAATTCACAACAGGAACCCAATTTTTTTCTACAAAATATCTGAAACAAAGATATTACCTAATTATTATGTAATATATATAATTTTTTATTTAAAAAAATAAAATCTGGTTGACCGAGCCGGAACCCCTTCGAACCGCGGACCCAGGGAATATACAACCCAGGCTGCCCCTCCTCTCGAAAGGAGGGCCCTGTTAATCATCCGTCATTCCGCCCATTTAACCAATGGGAATAGGTTGATGTAAGGGCCAAGAATCAACTATTTATATTCCGGTTAAATTCCCCGCTCTAAATTTCGAAACTTAAATTCAAATTTTCGACTTGAAATTCAAGTTATTTCATGGCTTATTAAACAGGGATCTCCAAACCTTTTGCCACGCGGGTCGCATTGAGACCTGCACACAAGGTCCGCGGGCCATAGTTTGATATGAAAAAAAAAATCTTAATAGAATAATGAGCTTTCTAAAAGAAAAAAAAAACAAGCAATAAATGTTGTAGTAATCTCATATATGAGTAATTCTGTTGAATTTCATATTTTCATATATTTTTTAAAATTTTACTATGTTATCAAAGGGCCTTTAGAGGTCCGGATTGAAAGTGCTTGCGAGCTCCGTTGTTTGAAGACCCCAAGCTTAAAACAATAAATATATTAAATCTAAAGGGCTGGTAACTTTACGTCTTCTGGTTAAATGAAAACGTCAAAACGTCGCTGACTGGCTCTCTATCTTAAGAATACTTACGTTATCTAATTGTGAACTAGGTAAGGTAAGGCAAAAGGAAATATTGCAGGAAATAAAAAAAAAGCTAACTAAATTAAAGAGTCTTTGCTATTATCTATATTTATTTTTATTTGAAAATAAAGTAATTTTGACGCATTTACTTTTCAGAAAATAAACGTGGATCAGGTATATTTGTACTATCTGATTGTTTGATTATAAATTAGACTAATCTAATTAAGAACTATTCTTTTCCGGTAAGGAACAAACAATAACAAAAACAAAATAACCAAAACGTCATTATCTTATGGGAGTTCACTTTTTCAAAAATTAGCTATAATTGATAAGTTATTAGCAAACATTTCTACAGGGTAACACTGGTTCAATTACATTCCCGCTTGTATTCTAACTGTTTACTGAGAAATTAAGTTAGGAGACTGGATTCAATTTCTAAACGGATGGCAATTAATAAATAGAAAACTATTATGTCAATATGTTAATGACAGTTTTGTTAACACGTTTTTCTTAATTGCTTTAACCAAATGACTTCCATTTTTTAAAACAATATTAGCTGCTTCATTTTTTATTTTTATTCTATGCAAAGTTTAAATTTTGTTGTAAATACAATTAATACATATTATCTCTATTTTTTCACCAACAAATGAATTTGTTTGGACAGCTGTTTGTGTGCATTCAGCTATCATTTTAGTTTAAGCAAAAGAACAGTTTTAGGTTTTAATGAGTTTTTAATTATACTAAAATAAGTTTTAGCCATGTATGCCTGTTTTTTTAAAGACCAAAAACTCTTGGTAAATATTTTTCTTAATATGATTAGATTTAAATTTTATTACTTAAAAATACCTAAGTGTTAAATACCTCTTACACATCAATTGTAATGCGTATAATTATTTCTTATTCTAGTTTTGACACTATGTTTCATTGTTACAGGCTCGCCAAAACCAAGAATACTACACATGGAACCAGGGTTCTTCACCATTTGATAACACACCTCCTCCACAAGGTTAATAAATTGTATATCTGATTTTTAAAATGAATAGTCATACTTTTTATTAAGGACATTAAAATCAAATAAATAATAATAGTAATTTTATTTAGTTATGCTATGGCTTAAGTTTATTTGTATTATATTGAAGTTAACATAAACTTAATATGCTTATGAACATTATTAATATTAAGTATCAAAGTTGCTTTGCCAAATATTAACTATATTACTCTTAATATATTTATTTATCTGAGAACTAGTTCTGACCAATATAGGATATGCATATTTCATAGACTATTGATTTAAATAAAATATATTACTTGTAATATAGCAAATAGAAACATCCACCCATTCCTTTCTATTAAATGTTGTATTCTGCTTCGTTATTTAAGAGTTCAAATTCTTCTTACCTAAATCTTTTCTTCCCATCTTATACTGAACAAATTATCTTGAATGAACTTTCAGAGAGCTGCAGATTATTTTTTCAGTCATTGTAATTTCTTATTTACCTATATTAATTATGTGCACATCAGCTTAATGGTTTAATATATAAAAGTAGATATTTTAATAATGGTGGAGTTGACTGCTGATAATATCTTTAGGAAGTTGAAAGTGGAATCGCAGTGAAAAACACACACAAAAAAATTATTTTTTGTCCCAACATTTTGGCCTAAGTTTCAGACCTTCACCAGGGCTAATTGTATGGAAGAGATCAACCAAGTCACTAAGCTCACACATCTCAAAGAAATTCTTACATATTTTACTTCATTTTTTATCACAAAATTTTCATCTTCAAAAGATAAGATTTTAATTTTGAAAGGCCATTTTTGAATGAAAATTCGAGATGTATTGAAATCAAAGTAAGTTAATTGTGGAATGTACAAATAACTGACTGTTTGAGTTGACACTCAGGTATCATGCTATTAATTGATAACTTTTTTTTTAATATTTAAAATAAGAAACTTGAATTAACCCGTTCAGTGCCAACATTTGTTGAAACAGCACCCATGAAATACAAGCCTGATGCATATATTCTTTATATGGTAGGGAATGGGTTAATAACATATATTAGGTTTGTGATACACAGTGAATTAATTATATAATTAATTCTATATTTTTTTTTGTTTTTGCTACTAGGTGATTCCATTGATTCAATTTCGGAATTGTTAAGTTTAAATATGCCAAGAGGCTCCCTGCTTGGCAACACCAACCCTTTAGGAACGACTACATTTAATGTAACACCGTCTATAGAAGCTAATTCATCTTATCAGGTAAAATTCAGAAGGTATATAGTTGATTTTAAATAATACACTTTTTATAAAAATCGTTAGAGAAGGTTTTTTTTTTCATTTTTAAAGGTGTATGTTTCTCATTTTTACAGGGGTTTCTTATTTTTAAAGGCATTGAAGGTATTTCATGTTTTTACTTCACTATTTGTTAACAAAATATACTAATTAGAAAACCATAATAGAAAATATTAGGATAATTGTAAAGTGAGTGTTCAGATTTTATGACCAACGTGAAGAGTACTTTACAGATTCTTTTCTAGTTGTTTTATAGTGATTGAGAGCCAACTTTATTCTGTTCTTAATCTTGGACATTTGCCAGAACTGGGCATTTCTTCATTGGAATAGCCAAGTTGCCTCTTTGGTTTACCATTCTTTATGAATTATACCCTATACAAAAATAAAACAAAATAACTTGAATCTATTAAAGGTCAAGGAAAGTCCGAAGTTTTTTCTTATCGTGATTGAGGAGTAAATTCACTATTTGCTTTGGTTTTCAGTTCATTGTTTCCAATTACCAGTAATTTACCCATTTATTTTAATTTATATTTTTATTTCATATCAAGAAGAACAGTTTGATATTTTTTACTAACAAAATTTATTTGTAATAATAAACATGAAATGAAAAACTCAATAATGTTTTTAAAATAAATTAATATACCTATAGGGTAGGCCAATTATTTAGTAACAACTTGTATGTCAAATATGCAGAGAGGGTATTTTCTTAAATTAAACTTATTTAAACTACCCGAATACACAGAACAGTCTCTGTCCAGGTTTTCTTCCTGATTACTGCAGGATTCTGTGAAATATTATTATTTTTAGCTATAGAGTGTTATCATTTTTTAGTGTCTTATAACTTATGTTTGATTTAATAACTGTGTTCCTTATTAATCGCCAGTTTATTGCAAAAATTCATCAAGCAATATTTTTAAAAATTAAATCAGTAAGTACTTTAATACATTTCCCTCTGTGAAAAACAATATATATATATATATATATATATATATATATATATATATATATATATATATATATATATATATTTATTTATAATTGTGGGTTGATGGTTGACTGTAGTGAATAATTGAAGAGAAGGATGGTTAGGATGATCAGTCAAAATAAAAATAGTAAAAATAAATAATTATAGTTATTTTGACTGATCACTCCAACCATCGTTCTCTTAATATATATATATATATATATATTTTTTTTTTTTTTTTTTTTTTTTGCACTTATTGTTCAAACTTTATTTATTTATTTTATATTTATCGGGTTTGTGTTATTTTGGAGCACATGATGAGTTTTTCCATAAATAAATTTTATTAAAATTCACAAATATTTACTTAATAGTTTAGCTGCATTAAAAATATACTTAATGATTTTTTGCAATAAAGCAACGGTATATATATGTATCAATTGCCTATAATGTCTGCAAACATGACAAACCTTTTATTTTTTAATGAATTCTGGTCTGAGTTCATGATCATGATTATTTTCAAACAGCAAAGATAGATAATGCATTCACCGTAATATAAATAAGAGAGAAAATATGAGTTAAATTGGATTTAATTTAAAGCTTTGAAAACATTGTTTTTTTTTACCTCCTGTGTAATTCTGTTTTTGCTGATAAACATTCTTCTATTAATATACATATAACATTGCCATTTCTATAGGGCCAGGCAGGAAGGTTTAATTGTTACCCTAACCGGTATGAACCTCAGTCTATGTCCACTCCAAGGAAAACGCCTAGGCCTTTAGACCTAACACCACCATCACCTTTTTCACAAGTGACCCCTATATGTCCTCCTCAGCAGCTGGGATCACCTCCTTTTAACAGGTTTGAATAATTATTAGCGATTGACCAAAATATTTATAATTTACTGTAAGTTGATGTTATCAATATGTCATTGACTGACAAACAAAAGTCATTACTCCAAAATTTTAAAACATTCAATCCTCATTTCTCCACTTAAAAAATAGTATTTTTTACCTTAGCTTTATATGGATGTAATTTAATAGATAAATTCTTATAGTCCATTTATGAAAAATATCATTTTCAGCTCTAATAGATAGGTTTTATCTTTACTTTCAATTTTATTTTAATTTCTTCAAGCTCTCCTCATTAAACATTTAACATTTTTTCTTTTCTTTTTTTAAAGCTTATTATTTATTTAATATCTAAATCTGAATAGGAAATAAGTCAGTTGAAATAACAAAATTATCATGATTATCTAATGCCTTTATTTACTCCTAATTAGGGCACAAATGGCAGATTATTGTGCAGATTAACTACCTATTCTACTTAGAGTCAAATTTTTTTTAAGGAATAAAGCCTTATATCGTTTCAATTTTGTTCTATTTGGGTGTTATTTGCTGGCAAAGGTAGCATATAAGTTAGAGATTAACACTATTTTTTAAAAATTAATTAGCCCGAAGCAGTGCACTTTTGTTCCAAGGAAGCAAGCCTACAAACTTTACAAATTAACATTTTTCTTATAAATCTATTTTAAAGTCAAATTTTCAAATATTTGTTACCATCCACCTTCTGCAGTTTTGACAGCTGGTGGAAAAAATAAACCTTGGAGAAGAAATGTAATCATAACATACTGGGATCACCCACTTGATTTTAAATAATTCTGGCTAAGCAATTACGATTCAAAGGAACCCCAAATGCTTTTTCTTAAATAATTAAGAAGAAAAAAAAATTAATTTCTTGGTACTGTTATCAGTCTTACTTAATGATAGTATGTAACAGTATATTAAAAATTTATAATTCTGGATTCTACTGCGATGTCTTAAAACTGTGGGTTATTTATTTTTTAGTGGGTCTCAATTTAATGAAGTTTGTTTCAAAACTTTCTAGTGCCATTTTAAAATTATTTTACTTATTGTATGTATAATTATTTTACTTATGCACTAGGTTACAAGGATTGGGATAAATTGTACAATATATGTTTGATTGGTGTTGGCATGCCTACTTAGATCTATTTTGCATTCTGAGACTGACAGTTTATAAACTAAACTTTATAAACTCCTAAATGCCAAGAAAAACCACATATTTATTCTTGATTTAGATACTGCTATCTATGGAATTTTTATATTTATTGTGAGCTTTTGAGTTACTTTAATTTGGCCATCACTGCTTAATTTGTTTTTGTAACTATTTTTTTCAATGCAGCTCCTATTACATTCTCTCCAAAACAGGCTTGAGTAGATAAATGAAAGCTTATGGTAATTAATCTAAATTAAAAGATAAGTAAAATAGTGATCTTATTTTTGTTTTTTAATATTCTCTGTTCTGTTTTATTCCTATATTAGTTTATATGTATATACCTGTTCTGTATTTAACTCATTTTTTCGTTTTGTAGTAATCGGAGTAGCCCAGAAGACTCAGGTATATATCATTCAAATGTGCAGTCTGATATAACCAAATCTAGCAATAATGAACAAAACAACAATAGTAATGTATCTGTAAGTACATTAATGAATATATTTCAAATAGATTTAGAAATTAACTTTTCAATAAAATAAGATTTTTTTAAAAATGCACCGATACATCCATGCACATTACAATATGTTCTTCCTTGATTATTGGTTGAGAAGTTGGTTGGGGATTGCAATTGTAATGAAAAATTTTTTTTTATTAATCTGTTTAATTTTGTACCGATGATTGGGCCTAAGGTTCAGGCCTTCACTAGGGATGAGGAAAGACAAGATAGTAGCAAAAAAAAAAATATATTACAAACATATTTGCAAGAAAATAACAAGATTTGAAAAAAAATTGTCTCCTCATCCCAGACATGAAAAAAAATGTCTTTCCTCAACCCTGATAAAGGCCTACAACTTCCTAACAATATCAGCGGTCAACTATTTCTCCTCATTGGTTATTATTTTACAAAAAGTTATCCTTACTTATTACAATATGTGGACAAGTGTGATTGTTTATTAGAAGATTTTGATGCATACAGCAAGACCCAGATAGTTCCTCCAGAACTATCAAATCCTGCGTTATTAAGCCCAAAAATGTAATATTTCCAAGATAATGCTAGGCATAGGGTTCACATCCACACAACCTTACGTTAATTGTAGTACTGACATGGAATACATGTCTCATTTCGTCGACTTGAGATCCTTATGATCAGGAGAGAGGGGTTTATATTGTTTATTAAAAGTGTTTTTTTGTCGGTAAGCCGTATCATTGTAATTTTTCATCAAATCCACAAGTTTGAGTCACCAACTTTGAAGGTTTCCTTCTCCTTCAGGTGCGAAAAATAGTCCAATCAACCCTAAAATTCAGGCAAACAAGTTATGAAAGAAAACAAACTTTATTTGCGAATAACTAAAAAATTACATACTTTTTCCTGGGTTATGCTCATAATTACATAAAAGATTACTAAATTCCCTAAAAAAGGGGGAAAAAAAAATCATCGAAATCGGACAATTTTTAGAAGAGATGCAGCTTATTGAAATTTGTAAACATGTTGGTTCCAAACATTAATGAAGATTTAAATTAATTTTTGTTTCCTTTGTCGATTATCCTTTAATTTGTTGATTATATTTATCGATAAAGTAACAATTGATTTCTTTATCTTTTGATACATTGCATTATTTTCTTTTGTTATTAATTTGGGATTTAATAACAATATGCTGTTTTTAACATTTTTTAAAAACATTTTTAACATGGGCCTACTAGCATATAATAATAATTTAAATTGATTTACTGTTAAAGAATTTACATTGATTCACTGTTAAAAATGTTAGTTGATTTACTTTTAACCCTTTAACAACAGTGGACTCATATCTAAGTCGAGACAGAATTGAGGCAAGGTGACGGTGGAGGGGTTCAGTCCAACAAGTGGTCCCATTGGTCCTTTTTGCCAGGTTAGTAGGAGTGATGAAAACTATTACATCCTCAAGGATGCTTCACCCTTCCCAATCATAGTCGCCAAAAGGTTAAATAATGTAAGGTGCTTCATTGTTAAATAAATTAAATTGTTTCACTGTAAATAAGTCGAATTGATTTAAAAAATGACAATTTAACTAAATCATCTTTATTTTTTGGAAAGATGAAGAACTTTTCAAAAGATTACCAGAGATATTCCATTGAATAGTTCCAGATAAAATAAATTAAAACACAGGGAATATTGTAATGATTTTAATGTTAAATTTGACAATGTTTATTTTTATAAATATTACTTGTTTAGGGAATGTTCTGCCCCAGCACAGATCAAGAGATGGCAAATATTCAGAATCTGTTTGCTCTGAGGAGGGAGTCTGACATCATGAACAAAATAATAGAACACACATCAAGGCTCTTACTTGCAGCAGTTAATTCACCTGAAATAAAATCTGATGACCCACCCCAGTTCTCACAATCACAGGAAAAAATTTCTCGCTATCTTCCACCATTAACAGGTATTTAATTATATATTAAACATTAAATGAATTAAATTAGGCTATAATAAAATAGCCTACAAATATTATTATACCTCAATTATATTATTTCTTGATGTTTTAGCGAATATTTTTAATCATTTTTAAAAGATGTTGAAGAAGATGAGTCGAAATTATTAGAACTATTTTTTGTAAATTTAGTTTTTGATGATCAGTATCATAGATGTTGTAGATTTGGTCACTGATGGGAGACACCATCCCCTTAAAAAAAATAAATAATTCTTGGAATGATTTTATTTTGTATGCTCTACATTTTTTTCCCAACAAACCAATTGATTTGTGATATAAAAAAATAAGTAGTTATTTTATGTTAGATGGAAATGATATTGAAATAACTTTTAATATGTGATAATGAGTTAAATTTGTTTGTATATCCTGGATGTGTAGGTACCCAACGAGAAGCAGCGATTTGTACCTGGACTGGACAATTACCTGCTAGAATACATACAAACCCTACCTACTCGTGTAAGGTAAATGATTATGATCATAAAAATTGTAATTTCTTTATTTAATTAATTTAACATTATTTGCATTTCTGCAATAATGAATATTTTGATAATACTTTAGATCAGAGGCTGGTCAAAGCTTTAAAAATGTAAAAATTTGGAAAATAAATAATTTTTTGAACCATGGATAACTTTGTTCTAAACTTCACTTGATCGCAGTTCATTGTGGTTCATAATAGTGTGCTTGATTGTTTTTTGGGTGGTCTGAGAATGAATCATTCAAGTTTGCAAGCTTTACTGTCTTTTGTTTTAATTAATATATGGCGATGATTAATATATGGTGATCTGAGAGAATATAAGAAAACTAGGAGTGCTACATCAAGATGCATGATCAAATTTACAGAACCAAATCAGATTTACAGAAAATGAGAAGTAGAGCTTTGAAACAAAACTCAATTTTGTGGCCAAATATATCTAGATCTTATAGATTCAATTTTCATGAAAAAAGTATTGTGTAATAATTTATTTATGTCACAATTCACTACAAGATAATATTCGGGTCTTGTTTAGATTAGGCCTGCCAGTAATGTTTTAATGATATCTAGTAACAGTTGTTATATAACTTGATACCATTGATATACAAATATTATTTAATTTAAATAATGTTTAAATAATAGATGTTTAAATATTATTTAATTTAGTATTGTTTGTGTAATTGTGGTTATAAAGTGATAGCACGATGAATTTTTTTGAAGTTTAATATTTATACAAAGAATAGGAACTTGCCAGGATTTTCTTTGAAGAAAGAGGAATTCTACCTAAGGAAAGCTATTGTAAAAAAGGCCACATTATGAAGTTTTACGAAGATAAAAAAAAATATAGGTGCTATAAAAGACAATGCCGGTATGAATGTGGCATGTTTACGGGTAAGTGGCTATGTGACAGCAGGTTACAATTAAGTAAAGCCCTTTTATTCATGGGCACAGGAGTATACAACGTTTAAATTCTGTTCCAAAGAATTCAATATGAGCTCCGCTACAAATGTAGATTGGAAAAATTATCTGCGGGAGGCGCTGCTAGTTTGCTGAAAAACCCGATTGTTATTGGAGGGAAAGGAATGACAGTTGAAATAGACGAGTCCTGTTTTTCTCGTCGAAAGTATAATGTAGGACGCACCCACAGCAATGGATGTTTGGCAGGATCTGTGAAACTAAAGAGTGTTTTTTGTACGCATTGCTCAATAGGAGAAGAGAAACCCTGGAGGAGTGCATAAGAATATCAATTAGATTCCGTTATAATGTCTGACCTGTGGAAGTTCTATAGTGAGATAGAAGAAATGATCGGAAAGGATTACAGGCATTGTACTGTAAATCACTCCAAAAATTTCATCATCCAAGAGATTGGTGCTCACACTCAAAGAGTTGAGTCTATGTGGGCGAAGGCCAAAAGGAGAAATAAAAAGCAATGTGGGGCTCATCGCTCTATGTTAGACTCACATTTATGTGAGTTTATGTGGAGGCAGAGAAACTCAAATGAAGATGTTTTTGATAAAATCCTCAAGAAAATAGTAGAATTTTGGCCTTTCGAGGTACCAGGAGTAACTCATTAAAAGTATGTTAATGTTTTTTAATTATGTATAAAATGTTTCTATTAAATAAATTATGTTTCTTTAACCCATATTTTTTAATTTATCAATAAGTAACTGTTAATAGATAAAATAACTGGCGGGCCTAATCTAAACAAGACCCTAATATTCTAATGATACTGGCTCCTAAAGATCCAGATTCACTACTGAGTAAGTTTTATTATGATTAACTATCCAGATACATCTCACAGCAAAGAAAAAAATTGAAGGCCTTATTTAACCTCTGGCGAAATATGTTTTTGAACATAAAAAATAACATGAATATCCTTTGAAAAATAAACATGTGAAGAAAATAGAATCGCAAATGACAGGATATTAACATTGGCAATTAAAATTAACTAGAGAACATTAAAACTGAAGGTAGATGTAAATCATATTATCAGTATGACAGAAACGTCCTGCAGTTCGCTAATGATGGAAAATAATTATATATAGCTTGGAAAAGATTTTGCGGACTTTTAGATAGACCGGGAGGAAAATTGACCACACCTATGAGTCAGAGGTCATTTGTCATTTTTTGAGTTTACTACTAATTCCATTATTTATTATAAAATTTGATAGCTCATATTACCAGAGCCTAATTGCTCTAATCTAAAAAAAAAAGTAATTTAGAGTAGAAATAAAAATAAAAAATATTCACCATCAAAGTTCCTAAATATTGTTATGGGATATAATTTAAATTTAAATTTAACCATGAAAACAAATTGATTCTAAAGATAAAATCAATTCAACTCCAAGCTGAAAGTTTCTGGTTCACACTGGTGTCAGTCGGCATACAAGAAATTTAACTTTAAATCTCCTTGGGACACAATTTTGTATCAATTAGCGGATTGCTCCTTATATATTTGTTTTTTTTTTTTTTTTTTATGAAATTTTCACATAGAGATTTTTTTTTGTACTGAATCAAAATATGTCATACTTTTTTTGATCAAAATCTATAATGATACTTTTCTTAATAATTTTAAGTTTTGCAAAATTAATGAAAATTTCATTAATTTCCATTACTGTAAAAAAAATATTATAATGACTATATTTAAGCATATTATTTGCATTGGCGTACTTCTAAAAACGTATAAGTCTAACTCATTTCTTATATACTTCAAGGTTGTAGATGTAATTCATATCTTGGTTGTAAAACCATGTCTATATCATTTCCTAAACTTGAAGATGAATTATCCATAGCTGCAAGGAAAAACGCTGCAGCAGGATTTACTGCAAATATTTCTGACTTAGAGCTCCAGGTTTTGGCTTTACTACAAACTTTGAGGTAGAAATCACAGCAATCTGCCTGGCTCTTGGAGAACTGATAGAGACAAATCATCAAAAAAGTGATTCTTTCGGTTGACTCTGAGGTAGTTATTCAAGAGGTTACTAATAGTGCAGATAATGAGGATTGTGAAGTACAGAACTGCAAATACTTTACCCACCAACTAATGTCAAATGCATTAGGGAGACTAATATAACTGTCTAATGTGAGTTCTCAATGGGATATACCCGTATATGTAATATATTTGTAAATATCAGAAAGTAAAGGAAAAAACAAAACATTACTTTCAATTTAATGCTGCATGAGTTCATTGTTGAGATTTCAACAAATTGGAACAAGCTACAGTACTATACAAATAATTTAGTACTGTTTGATTTGCTATTATTTCATTTCTACAATAGATTATAATGTGATTTATACCTGTGTTAAAAATCTTGAGTATATTAGCAGATTTTTAAAATATTTGTTATTCAGATTTGTTTATGTATTCTTTTATATTTTCAGGTATTTCTTGGTGGTGTACCTTGGGATATTACAGAAGGAATTCTGGTTCAAGCCTTTAGTAAATTTGGAACTATCAAAATTGAATGGCCAGGAAAAGACATGCCAAACCAACCAAAAGGATATTGCTACATTATATTTGAGGCTGAAAAGAAAGTAATATTTTTCATTACTTACTATACAAAACTGATAATTATTTTTTTAAATTATTTGTGCAATAAAAAGCCTGTGTGAGCATGCATGAGACTGAAAATTTGTTACATTTTTTTTTTGATAAGTGTGGAATTTTTATGTGAAAATAATATTTTTATAAATTAAATTGAAGGGTAAGAAACTAATAATGATTCTGCATAGCACCAAATTGCTGAGCATCTTGATGGAAGATAATATGATAAAATAATTACGGGTTCGTGTCCTAGGCCCGGTGGGGAGAGAGAGGAAGGGGTAATCCCCTGGCCTGAGAGGAAAACCTCGTATAGCCTAGAAGGCGAGGAAGGAGTGGAAAAAAAAAATAGCGATTGAGATGAGCGAAGAAGAGTTGGCTAGGAAGTTTTTGATGGAGCCTCTTTATGGAAAGAGAAGACGAGGAAGACCGAAGCATAGATGGATAGACGAGGTTGCAGTTGACGTTCAGAACATCGTTGGTGTACGCAACTGGATGGAGGCTGCACGAAACTGTAATGATTGGTAGAAGTTGATGGTGGAGGCTCCTACCTGGCAACAGGTTGTTGAGCTGAGATAATAATAATAACGTTGTGGTGAGGGTAGAGTGCCTGGTTTGAAATGATGGTTGGATTCTCATTTCGGACAGTTAATATTTTTTTCTTGGCATTCCCAAATAATGAACCGTGACTCTCCCAGTCTCATTAGTATATGGCAGCAATCACTAGTTTATGATCGAGGTTTAGTAAAAAGAAGCTCAAGTTCCATTTGTTGAACTATTTAACCTCCCCACCATCAATACCTCTGCCAGTCCCAGTACTCATAGGTTAATTTAAATCTGAGTCCATTTCTCAGAAAATGGCCATGAAGCTTTCAAATATCAACATTTATTCTATCATGTAAAGTGAAAGTATTACAGAAATATATATTTTTCATTTCTATAATCCATACAACTGCATTTTAAACTAACTATTTTTACTCAGAGACTACAGGGTGAAAGAAAAAACAGAAAGATATTCGATAGATCGAAGTTTTGAAGCTGCAAATACTATCAGCTAATTAGTTTAAGATACAATGGTATGATTTAGGCGCTGGCAGCTCTCATGGATGGCATAGCTCCTTCTCCACCACTTTTCTTTACCACTAATAATCTTAAGAATAAAATTAAAAAAAATTGGAACTTTTTGCTTTTTTTTAACCTAATCTTCACCAATTTATGCCAGTACCTTATTAATCAAAATGCTGAATCTGGTTTAATAATTTTACTATTTCTTACAAAATTATTGATAAACACAAAATTTAATTATTAATGAAAAGAAATAAATAACATTAACTAGTTGGTGCATGTGAATAATTTGCATGGTGCATTGATCAGTCACCAAATCGTAATCTATTATGAAAATAAGTAAATGCTATGACTTTTAAGGAAAGGAAGAAGGTAATTTCTTTTTTGTTGAATTAAAATGATCATTAATGAAAATTATAAACTAAAACTTGTGAACAAAGTTCAGTGGACTATACTGTTGATTCTCGATAATTCAAACATCCATAATTAGAATTTTTTGAAAATTCGGACTATTCAGCTGCTAACTTTGGTAAGTTGAAAAAATGCTGCTTTTTCATAGCTCTATAACTCGAAATCCTTTTTGTATCAAGAGGAGGAGAGAACATTCTGTAATTTGAACTAGACCACTTCCCCTCTTTATAATTCAAAATTTTCCTAGTAATATCTTTTATATGAGGCTATTTACATATAAAATTTATGTAAGCTCATACATATTTTCAAAAAATATATAATAAAACTCTTATTAATTCCATTTTTTTTCTTTCCCCTTGTTGATTCAAACTTATTGATAACTCAAAGCTTTGATAATTCGAATTTTTCTAGTTGTTCCTTAGATTTCAAATTACCGAGAATCAACTATATCTTAGGAAATAATGATCAGGTTTCAATGTTGTTGTTTTTTCTGATGAATTTTATCACATTTCAAATGATTATGTATATAAGCAACCAAGAATTGTATACTTTTTACGTTATATGCAAATATACTGTTCTATTCTTCATAATTTATTTTCCTGATTTATCTACAGAACTAGGAGAGAATGATGTCTTCAATAGATCATTGGCTTTGAAGAACTATTAAGAAAGATATGGCATACTGATCAAAAAATAACTTGGAGAAATAATATATAAATAATAAAACGTCTCCTTTGTTTGTGCCTTTATTATTAAAATCTTTTCTTAGATTTTCATGAAGACTGAAAAATTAAAAGATTAACACTAAATAATTTAGCATAATTGTTTCTTTAATGGATTGACAATTTTATAATTAAACTCAAGAATAAAACTTTATCTAAATGACTATCATTGCATGCATATTGTTTGTTTTAGGTCAAAGCACTTTTGGACTGTTGCATACATGACTTTTCTAAAGGTGGCAATTGGTATTACAAAATTTCTTCCAGAAAAATGAAATCAAAAGAGGTATTCCTATTTACTGTGAATTATTAATTTAATTTGACAATGAATTTTTATTTCTTCTCATCACTTTTGCTTTATGTAAATAGTAAAAGTGAAACTTCAATATATATTATTAATTGATTGGTTATTAAAATTGAAGTCTTCCATATCCTGCAGTACAACAAAACATTACTTACACTGTTCCGCATCAAAATCCTCCTGCATCAAATATAAATTGTTTTTTTTATGTTTTGAGGTATGCTGAACATGAATCCAAAGACAGAAAATCTCTATCAGGCACCATTTCATGTCAAATTTGTGCTTTGGTTAAAAAATGAAGTATTTTTTTGACATTTTGGGAATTTTTTTCTCATTGAAAACATCAACGAAAAATGAAAAATTGATTTGATTTTGAAGCTATTACAATTTACGACAACATAATAAAATTCCAAAAGATGAAGTGTTAGGCTTCAAGATTTTTTTGGCCACTTATCTGCGCTCTACTTAAGGACCGGGAATTCAAAGAAAAATTAAATGAAAATGAAAAAAGATTTGGTCTGAATTTGATAACATTGTGTCAACAATTTTTAGGCTACAAAAGAGCTACAAATTACAAATACATTGTTAAAGAATTTCCTTTATCATATAAGGCCATGGATTAAGTATAGCATGGCATTAAAAATTCATATTTTGCACTCTTGTGCTGACTACTGTTGGACACTGCGATAGGAGACAGCTGATGAACACTATAAAAGGGAAAAATATACACATTAACTAGGCATAAAGTTATATTATGTTTAGGATTAAATATTTTATATATTATTATTATTCACAAGAAAATAAATAAATGAAATAAGAAAAATTCATGCTTTTCAGTTTTTTTTTGTTTTGTTTTTCAAAAATAGTGCCCAATAGTATTTTTTTGACTTCAGATTTGAACTCATTACACCTGAAATATAAGAATTAGGAAACATTTCTCAAGGGACATTTTTTTTTTTTAATGTTTTTAAAGTAAAAAATGAAATTAATTCAATAATGAACTAGTTTCAATACTTAGCATCCCAACCTTTTTATTTGTATATCCCCTTTTTCAACAACAGTACTCTTTCTTCAGGCTATTCAAAGTGTTTTTTTGTAAAAATAATAGACTTTTGCAATGTATGAGAGATTATTGGAGAGAGGTAGTTGGTTTATTTTATGCAATTATAGGGTATTCAGGGATGCCATACACCCAGAATGAAAGGGGTACAATTCAAAAATTGCTGTTTTCAGAAAATCATATTTTAAGTTTATCAATTTCTTTAAAATAGTAAACTGGTCAAATGAATCTTCTGCCAGTAAATTATATATCCGCAAAGTATCACAAGATTGCATGTAAAATGATAAAGCAGGTGATCAGAGCCAAAGGCCTTTGTACAAGAGATAGTTTTTAAACCTTTTTAACCCCTTCACATCAGTTAATACTGATAATTTTTTTTTCAACCCCAGTTTTTAGTCTAAAGTTCATTGCTTATCTAAAACAGAACATCTTGAAATTTTCCCACACTTTTATGGTGACGGTTTCAGACAACAAAATCTAAATTTATCGATTTATTGATTATTGTAATCAATGAGTCACAACTTAAATAATTATTTTTAAATATGATCCTTAGCGGATGCCTTATATACACAATCACAATTATAATTGACACTTAAAAAAAACACAGAAGAAAGCTGTAATAAGTACTAAGGCTGATTTTGATTATTGATTATGGCCTTCTTCATAAATAATGCATTAATATTGGAACCACTAATTGATTCACTCAGTTTTCAACTGTCTCTTGATCTGTAAATCAATTTAATAGTTAGGTAATAAGACACAGCTATTCCTGAAGTTATGTTAATCCATTACAGTACTCTCTCAAGATCTGTTTAATTGGTTCAGGAGGGAACCTTTGTAGCTCTCTCACTCACTAAAAATATAGAAATCTGTTAATGACTAATTAAAAATTTATTACTATTAGTAACCATAACTGGATATTTCTTTAAAGTGCAAGGCCGGATAATTTCTTTGGAATCCTATCTAGTTCAATTACATCTTTGTTGACTCGATCTATCCAACTGGTTTTTGTCCTTCCAGATGCTCTCTTGCCTTCTATTGAGGAATCCATTGTTGTATAGAGGGTTCCTGATGGACTGTTCTACATGTCCTGTCCATCCTTGTTTCATTTCACGAGGGTGATGTTTAGTGTCCTCATCACCTTTGAATTTATTGTACCATTGTACACCCATAATTTGACATTTATTGGGATTTCAATACCTTTGAAACAGAGAATAAAGCTCTGTTCATGCTTATCTGTTGGTCTATTTCTGGTTCTTGGTCAAGAGTTCAATTTGTCTACTCTCGGAAATGATTTTTCTTCTTGATTATATTAAATTCAAACACATAAATTTCATGTGAGTTTTTATTTTTAATCATTGATGAAATCATGCTCATTATCAACTACCTTCTGCCATCTACTGTACAAATTTTCAATGCAGGATCGATAAAACCCAGTTGCTTTTTGAGGAAAATATATAGAGATGGCAATTTTGGATATCTTTCAAATTTGCAAATCTTTTGCCACTTAGAAAGTGTTGAAACGAGCCGAACAAATGGAAATCCCATGGTGCAACATTAGGTGAGTATGGTGGATGAGGCAATACCTCCCATCCCAATTCATTAATTTTTTCCAGGGTTTGTCTTACGCAGTACAATCTTGCATTTTCGTGTTGCAGAATAACGCCTTTCTGTTGGCAATCGCTGGCCACTTTTCAATTAAAGATTGATTTGCAGGATCAAGTTGTTCACAATAAAGATTTGCATTCACAGTTTTTCCAGGTTATAGCGCTTCAAAATGAGCAATGCCAGGAATTCTCCACCAAACACACAAAAGGGCCTTTTTGGAGTGTAAACCTGACTTAGCAGTACTTCGTGGCGATTCTTTTGGAGAGAGTATTCGTTTTGCAATTTGGATTATCATACCGGTGTTTCCAAATTTTAGAAATGGGGTGGGGAATGCTCAGAATGGATAAGTGGATGGGGACTTTTGAGAACTTATATCTCTGATAAGAGTCTATATAATATTGATTTCATATATCACATATATAAAATGGTGGGCTAGTGGGAGAACCTGACTAGGACAAGGCCCTACTTGATATTTTTAGGGGGCATTGTTGATAAGTTGATAAAGAAATTTGTTTTAGCTGCACCATCACCATTCATCAGTTTTGATGTGTCATGGTCACTATACTTTCTATGGCCAAGAATTAGGTTCTTTTATGAGATAGCATTTATGAAAAGAAAATATATTAAATATAATTCATATATGTTATATAATTTATAATTATATAATTCACATAAATTTAGCCTATAATCTCTAAATCTCTTACATAAACTAAGGATTAAAAATATTTTAAAAAATGCGAATAACTTTTTAAAAATGTATTTCAAAGGTCCAGGTTATTCCGTGGGCTGTCAGTGATTCCAACTATGCTCAAGTTTCTCAGAAGCTAGACCCACAAAAGACTGTGTTTGTTGGGGCCCTTCATGGAATGATTAATGCTCGGGCTCTGGCCAAAATCATGAATGATCTTTTTGGTGGAGTGATATATGCTGGTAAGTTCATATTCTTTTCCAAATCTAAAATTTTATTCCTGTGACTTAAGTTCTATTTTGTACAATTTTTTTATTTTATATTTATTTACAAAAGTAACATAAAATTAAATTAAATATAAAATATAAAATATAAATATAAAATAAATTTGCATGTTACTCCAGAAAGTATATTCCATTATTGTTTATCATCTTCAACAATCTTCTGGTAGCAGTTGAACTTGGTGACACTGCAACTTCAGCTTTATGACTAAAAACTTCCTGCATTACAATTTTATATCCTTGTCATTGTTAGAATGCCAAATAGTATTGAAATAATAAACCCAGATCGACCAAATAAAAAACAAAATTTGTAATAATTAAAATTTTAGTTGGAATGTTATAGAGGTGTTATTTCTGAAAACTAATTTGCACAAAAAAATAAAGTAAGGAAGAATTTATTATTGTTAATTGTCTCTGAACCAAATGAGACCACTCCCATTAAAAATACTCTCAATATTTTCAACTGATTTTAGGTGAATATCAGAAAAATTACATTTTGCTAAACATAATGAATAAATATTCGTACCTAGTATATATAATTTTATAATTAAATGAATCTACTCGATTGTCTATATTGTCTCCTACATCTGTGGGTTCATTCATATTTGTACTATATTGTCTCTCTAAATCCATTCCAACTCGCTGACTGATATTTATAATGTTGCAATGTTGATTTGGATAATGTGGCTTTTCTAATCCTAAATTGGAAAGTGATCACTCCCATATAAATCGGGTTTTGTTTCCATAATTATATAGTACATAATAGTATGTGCCTAATTGTTAAGAAGCTAATAAATGATTGGTATTTCAAGTATGAAATCTTCTCCCCATACTTATATCTTATTTCATGTGCAATGTTATGTGAAAACATTTAGGCAGCATATTATGAAAAGTTTTAATGAAAAAGAATTTTTCTAAACTAAAATGAGCATTATCTACTCTATGCCATAAATTGGAATATGTCTACATGTTCACTGTATAACGAGGTATACTAAGTGTATATGTAAATGTCTAGAAAGCAAAGAATTCATATGTAGTTTTTTATGGTAATAATGAGACAATATCAGTAGAAGTGAAAACTTAGTGTATGGTTTCACTTATTATTCTCCTCCTCAATTATTCTCAATGTTAAACACTTACATATCTCATATCCAAATATTTTAGATACAATTAATAAATATTGAAAAAATCAAATTCCCACTGGTATAATTTTGGCTAGGCTGGCACAGTTTTGCCTTTGAGGATAGGTTTGGTAACACCTGTACTAACGGGCTACTGAATAGAGTGAGGGGGTAACCTACCAGTACCTCTCAACCTCCAGCTATGGGATGAGGCTAACAAAATTTACAAGAAAGAAGGCTTGGCAGGAATTCTGGAAAATCTTTAGATAAGAATTATGGTGTCCTCTAAAAAAATAGCAGATGATCCAGGGTTGATACAATTGAATAGTGGAGCTGAGATTGGATGATAACCCCAAAAGGAAGTACTCCAAGAAAATATTTCTCCCCCAAACAATCACAGTTACACTTGTCTTCCCAGGCTATTAGGTTTCACAATTCCTGTTAGTGCATGGAGTGAAGTAAAAAGTGCCATTTCTCCATTGTCTGAGGGAAAGGGATGGCTAGCCATTTTGGGAAAATCGCCAACACTCTTCTTAATCTATGTAAATGACATTAAAGAAGAAATGCCTAAAAATTTAAAGCTATCAGTTTAGGCAGAAGATGTAGCAATTTGGTATAAATCCACCTCAAGAATACTAACCAAATATAGGATCCAAACTGCACTGGATGCACATTTTTCACAGAAAAATAGGCTCTCAAAATAAATATTAATAAGACACACTTCATGATTTTCAGTCTGTCCCAGATACCCTTAATCTGAAATTAGGCAACCAAGACCTCACTATGGAAGACCTCCCAGTCTATCTAGTCATAAAATTTGATAAAAGACTCACCTGGAAGAGTCAAATAGACAGATGTATTGTTAAGGCAGTAAACTGAACAACATTGGACTCGTCTCAACGATCTATAGAGCTGAGCATGACTCCATTTTTAATGCAGCCAGGATCCAAAAGAATCTTAAGAGGTGTCCACTCTCACGCATTGTATTCCTGACAGATGTAGCATCCGTTCTTGAATGCCTTAAAAATAAATGGAAGATTACATTAGCTAGGTACATTAGCTGAGAATTGGAAGATTTAAGAGCGCAATACCAAGAGGTGGTTCTATAATGGGTTCTAGGACACTGTGGGCTAGCAGGGAATGAAATTGTAGACCGATTGGCTAAAGAAGGAACATTATTCCCCCAAATTAGCAGCATCCCTAGATTGAAGGAGTGCAAAACTATTAATAAAGCAGCCATAAGTCAGAGGTGGAAAGCAATCACCCAAATCATAATCCTCACGACAATTATTTCAAGCTAACCAGAAGGGAGCAAGTTGTCATTTTTCGCCTCAGAACTTGACATAACCGCATAAAATCACCTCTTCAGAAAATTCACGATATGACACAGTCTCCTATGTGAATGTGGCCAAAATGAACAAACCACAAAGCATGTTCTGTAGAACTGCCAGGCATTTGGAGGATTTATGGAGGCAGATATGGCCCTAACCTACGGACTTGGGACTAAGCTGTTCGGTAGTCTGGAGGACCACTAATTTTATTTTTTTACTCTCTGACATAGTCGTATAGAGGGAAGAACGAAGAAGAAGAAGGAATGGCCGATGTCTGTAGTGTAATAAACTAATAGTTAGAATCTATCTGTGTGAGACAGCATTGACATTAAAGTCGAGAGGACTTTTAACTGTGGCATGAATACCCCGCCCTCACCACCTGGCCTGGAAGGATAGCCTAAAATACCAGGAAGGAGAGGAACAAAAAAAAAAAGATTAGATAGATGAGTTCTTGGCTTAGAGGAGAGGGCCAATACCACTACACCTATGGGTGTATTAAAATCTTGAGATCTAAATATTACTGAATATAAATCATTAAAGCTGTGCTGAATCCCTAAAATCTGATAGAAACCTTGGATTTGTGTGAACATGGGTCAGCTTGTAATTTATAATTTCATTATTTTAAGAGTTTTCAGATGTTTCAGACTAAATAACTGCTGTTTTTAACAGGGCTGGATACAGATAAGTATAAATATCCCATTGGCTCTGCAAGAGTAACATTTAACAACCAGAGATCGTATATGAAGGCCGTTGTGGCAGCTTTCATTGAAATAAAGACTTCTCAGTTTACAAAAAAGGTATTAAATATTTTGAACCCAATACTAACTAAGATACACAATTTTTATGTTTTTGAGTACTTACTCATTGTTATTATTGATCATTTGGTTTATTTATCAAAGATATAGTATTTCATCACTACAGGAGCAGTATGAGGTATCTCAATTTGGTCAACTTTTCAGGATATTATAAAACATTTAACAATCTTTTATATCTCATTATAATTTATATTATTTTTATTTTTTAAATTGATTTGAATTTCTTGTTAACCTCAAATTCAGAAGGAAATTCTAAATGAAATGGTATACTCAATGTCATTAAAAAATGATACATGTATAGATGTAGTAATAAAAAAGGATAACTCCAATTTTTTTTTAAGTTTAACCATTGCCTAAAATTAAAATTCTAGACTGTATTTACCAGCTGATAAAGATTTTGCACTGAAAGCATATTGAATCCTTTGGAAAATAATGTTAGAAAATGCTGAATTTTAACACAAAGGTATTAGTGTCAATAGTTGTTATTCTTAATGTTCCGTAAAACAATATGAAAATATTGTTCTATTGAAAGTTGCTAGGAAAGCTTTCTTTGATCCTTGGGAAAACATTTTTTATATGATAAAATAGTTTTCTTGGCTGTTTTATTAATTAATTAGTTCATATGCTGGACCTTTTCTTTATATCTTATTTCTCCTCCACAACTTTCCCTCTGGTAAAAATTTAAAAAACGCAATTTTTTGTTTGTTGTGGAGGAGAAATAAAATTAATAAAATTTGGCTAAAATTTATCTTATAGTAATAATTATCTTTACTTTTCGTTGATGCTAAAGACTGATTTATGAGAATCAAGGCGTTATTTTGTAATTTTATTATTTATAATTTTGATTTTCAATTTTAATAGTCTTGTGGGTTAAAATGATTTTCTATGATTAATTATTGTGTTTTATTTAGAATTGTTAAAAAATTATTATTTTCCTGGTTTTTCTCTGATATTAATCAACCTTTTGATAAGATAGAGCATTAAGGATTTGCAAGTTTGAAATTTGTCTTCCTCTCATATTAATTAATATGAAGCATATTATATTGACGAAATGATGTATAATTGACAGAAGATATTTCTTCTAATAATGTTATCAATAGCTTGATTGAAGACCCACTTGCAGAAAAATAATTGGAATACAGATGTTTTGTCAATCATACTACATTTTAAAAGATAATGTGCTTCATATTTATCAATTTTTGTTTTTTTCCGAGAGTACTGGATGAATATTCCAAATATAAAGTAAAAATTAGGCTTCTCTTTCTTTTCAAATGATTAATCATAAAGCCACTATATAAGATCTAGATTTTATTTACTTCTGTTACCATATAAAAAAAACTGTTAAAAAAAATAATATTTAAAAATATATAATTGTAATTTATTTAGTAAGTATAGATAACATTACTATTATTCTCCTGATACATTGGCACCAATATAAAGATTATTTGAATTCTTAATTTAACTGAATTTTAAATATTTACCTTGGATCATTATAGGTGCAAGTGAACCCCTATCTTGAAGACTCACCATGTTCTTCATGTAGTGTCCAGCAGGGACCCTATTTCTGCAAAGTAATGGTGTGTTTCCGTTACTACTGCCGTGGCTGCTGGGCCCTTCAGCATTCAACCGGGGCAATGCGCTCCCATCAATACATATCAAGGAACTCAAAGAGCTCCAATATCTCTCCAACAACGCATGTCCTTTAGGTGAGTTGTGACCCAATTCGTTTGGTCAAAATGTTTTCGATATTCCACAAGATCTCATTACAAAAAATTAAACAGAGAAAAAAAAGAATATGGCTTCCCAGAAGGAGTTTGATTAACAGTTTATTTAAAGTTGCATTTCAAGTTAATTATAAAACATTTTACTTAAAGGTTTTCTTTTTTTGGTTTTCCATCATTTTATGTTTAGTTAATGCTATGTTCAAATTCATTTTATTATATACTTTTAATCGCGTTAATTATTTTAAAATTAAAAGAACTTTTTAATAAAATGAGTTTTATTTCTTTTAGTTTTAAGTTAGAATTAATTGAGGAAATTATTAGCATCCATAACATAACATAAAATAAATTATTTTAATTTTGTTTTTAAGGGAGTTCTTAAATTTAGCTTTTGATTAAAAAAATTCATTGAACTTCAACTTATATTTCTAATACTAAATATTTCACATCATTTGATAAAATTAATTAGTTATTACTTTAAAGAATTGGATTATTATTTTCTCAGAAAGCTAAAGTAGTTGCTTTAGATTATATTTTTTTCAAAAATTATTTTATATATTTATTTTTATTTCATATGGTTTTTGTAGCATATTTATTATATGGCCAATTGAAAAGATTGTTACAGTATAATATATACTTACAATAAACTCAAAATTTTATTTACCAACAGTAATTTTTTAAAGATTTTATTTATAAAGTCTAAAAAACATATCTATAAATAAATTTTGGAAAGTAATTAATGATAAAATATTGTAAAATGTTGAAACGAACCAATTTTTTTTTTAATGCATTTACACAATCACATTTTATTTACAAGAGACCCGAATTGTTTGATAGTCATATTCTTCAATAATAACAATATAACAAACTATTAATTAACTTCGTAAAAGCCAAGAATTAGTGTTGAGGGGAGGGGAAATATTTCTCTCAAACGTTATCGTTCTAAGAGTTGTGGAATCATATTGAATTGCAAGGAAATATTGTTATATGTTTTATTAATAAATATTTATTGATAGTAATGTGTATATGATGGTTGTTTACAATATTTATGTATTATTCTATGAAATGGATGGTTATGTTCAGGATTTCTTTAGCCACCAGGGGTGCCAGTGTGAATGGAAAAAAAAATGTATTTTATTTTATACGTATATACCTCCTGTATCTTTCTCATTCAATATAATTTAATAAAGATGAATGTAAATATAATAGTAATGTAGTATGATATAATGTTTCAAGTCTGTTATTATTAGAGACAGGATTTCTTGTAGTAAAAATAAGATGAAACATGAAATAAAAAGGCTAAACAGCCAAAAATAAACAAACTACATACAATAAAATACATGCTTTGTTTTTATACATAATTTACAGTTTTTTCATTACAATATTGGGTAAGAGAAGAGGAACATATCAATATTTTGTAGTACAACCTTAATATCCAATAATTTTAATTTTCTGAGAAGGAATTAGTCGAGGGTGCGGTCAAAAAAATAAAAAAAAATTAAAATATATAAATAATTTTAATTTTTGCCAAAATTTGTCAAAAATTAAAATTATTTATATATTTTAATTTTTTTTTATTTTTTTGACCGCACCCTCGACTAATTCCTTCTCATATCATATCAACGGTCAACCAACTCTACATCAATTTTAATTTTCAATTCTGTCCCTTCATGGCTTACCAATATTAAGACATCTTGTTGGTACTTCAAATTAACTAGAGTTACAAATCAGAAATAGTAATTTATTCAATTACTGTTTGAAAATCCACAACCATATAACATTAGATAGAGCTATCTTACTTTGATTTCTGGCTTTTTTAAATAATATCTTTTGAATGATTTTGTTCAATCTGGATGTTTTCGATCCCTTTTTTTATTTATGAATTTGTTGGCTCAGAGCACCTCGACCCTTGAAGGATCTATTGTGTTCCAATTAAGCTATTCGTTTATTCTCAAAACGTTATTTCTGCCGCTTCCGCGTATCTTAGTAGGTTAGTTGGATTGCCAGACTGATAGCTACTGGGGAGATCCATCCGTTCCTCCCCAAATTGTGATCCCTTTATTTATTTTTTTTTAGTTTTCAATCTCAAACCAAGCATTATCCATATAATGTGATTGTTGGTGATAGACAGATGTCATGTATCTGTTGTTATATAAAATGCCAGTTTTTGAGGTAAAATTTTGAAAATATGAGTCATTTATTTAAGCGGAACTTTAATTTTGAGTTGTAAATATGAGCCATTTCTCACCCATATTTTAATGGATATTGATTCACTAAAATGTCAGTTTTTATTAATATATATGTATGTGTATTATATATATATATATATATATATATATATATTAATAAAAACAATTAAATAAACCATTTAAATATAGTAAATTAAATATACTTTTTTTTTTTGTATTTTCATGACAAAATTTTGTATTTGTATGATCTACTATTTTCATAGGACTTTGAAGTGAGTGGCTGCTTCTATACCAGAATCTTGTTTAACGTGACATGAGTTTGGATTCTTAAGAATATCGGAAAGGAAGCATACTGCAATAAATAATTGTTTGTTGCTTGAGTAGGGTTTTGGTTTTGTTTAATTTCTTTTTTTTTCCTTCTAATTTTTAAAGAAACTTTCCCTGTTATATTTTTCTTTTGTTGACATTTTATATATTTAATGTTCTTAATTATTTTTGTAATTGTTTGTAAAGTTACATCATATCGGTGTGTTTCTTTATATGTGTGTTAAAATTTGCATTTTGATTTAAATAGCAAATATCTATAAATTATAAATATATTTTAAAAAAGGAAAAAAAAAAAAAAAAAAAAAAAAAAAGTCAATTAATGTTGACAAAAATTTGTAAATTGTAGCTGTTCTTTAGAGTTTTTAAAAGTTCCTAATTTATTTATCATCCTTATAATTAAGGAGATGAAGGCGAAATTTTGATGAAGAAAAGTGTTTTTGTGATATGTTTTATCTTTTATTTGACTTAAAAGTGCATTATGTTCCAAAGTGAGTGATCGGTTTATTTTAATTTTACACTTGTTGTCACGGTGATGGTGTTTTCAATACTTGGACACTTTGTTTTGTTATAATTATTATTCTATATTGTATTTATAAAATTTTGAAGAAAGATATGTCTATTTTTCTCAAATAATGAAACTATTAATAATTCAACCCAAGGGTTATAAATTGATATTTTTGATGACTTTGTTTTATTTGGTTTTTGAAAAAAAAAAGTATAAAAGTAAAAAAAAAAGTATTATAATCATAAGATCAAATAGTTAATTATATATTGCTATAAACCAATAGTTATTTTTAAAATATTATTTAAATATGTTCTATAAATGGCAACATAAAAATATTTAAAAAAAATGTTTAATGAATAGTATGTAATATTTATATATTTAATGACATCATATCAAATCTAAAGAAAGTTTTAAAAAGGATGGATGAAAAAGAAATATATATAAAAAATATTTATTTATGAACAGTTGTTTAAATATAAATATATTTGCTGGCAAATAAGTTTATGTTATTAGTAAAATAATTAATTCTATTATTATATAAACAATGTATTTTATCATTTTGAATTTTTTTTTTTTAAATCACAGAATTAAATAAGTACATTATTTTGAACGGTTTTCTAAATATTGAAATATTAAAACATCGGAGGCTGTTGCTACAAACATTGCAGTGGGATGACAAATTTAACTTCATGCTGACTGATAGATGCTGATGAGAGAGGATGCAACTCCTAAAAGGCCAATATGCCATTGGCGGAGCTTGCCTGCCCAGAGGAAGCCTGTTGGAAGCCAATGGACAGCATGAATGAGGTCTAAAGAACACCTGGTAGCGGTGAGAAGTTCGGATAACTGGGCCTGCCTCAGCCGGCGGAAAACCGTCTCGCTGAAACAAAATATCATTAGCAGCGGCTGCCGATGAGGCAAAATTGTTAGGTTTTAAGGAGTTTATATACAGATAAGTTTATAATAAAGTTTTGTGCTTGGAATAATTTTTTTAATGAAAAAAAAAAATGTATGTAATTACAAGCACACTAACTTTGCTCTGTTGTAATAAATGTTTGCATTAAGATTTGTTGATTTATATGACCTTTTTGATCTCTTTATTTATTTTCTATAACACTATGACTTAACAAAAATATGTTATCATAAGGATTCACAAATCATCTAGTTACAGGCAAGGTAAAGATATAAAATGGGTTGGGCAAAAAAAAATTCTCCAAGACTGTAGAGGGTAAATGTTATAAAAGAAAAAGATGTCTATAGCGATTCTTACACTTTGACCAATACTAACATATACATTTTATTTTGATTGCACATTTGGACTATAAATATGTATTTGTTAATTCATCATGGAGTAAAGGAGATGGTAAGTAACTAATCTTGAACGGGTGTAGTTTGAGGAATAGAAGATACACTGTGCAATAGACGATACAGATGAACTCAGACTACTGGGTTTCGCAATTCAATACAGGGTACTAAGAATTTCAAGCCAAGCTTCTTCACCCTGGCATGGAATTAAATCCTCCATGTCTAACATATACTGTTCTGGAAATTGTTGAACATAACATGACTTTAACTGCTTTGAAGTGATAAAAGCCATGTTCATGAGAAGAATTGAGATTCACATTCTCACTTAGTAAGTGAGGAGATCTATTTGTGGTTTAACTATTTTATTTCTGGTTGGAAGGCAATGTTGAAAGTGATCCACTTTAACCAAGGACCCCAAAGAAGAGAAAGTTAACTCTAGAAAAGATTATTATGAGAGTGCAAGTCAGGAGACCAACAGTGAATTAGGAAAAATAGGCAGCAGTGGTATTACACATTTCAGTGTACTTATACTACTATAGATAAGTAGAACTGAAAATGGTCCTACTGAAAGATTTCTAATAATTTACAAGGGCCATTCTCCCAGAAAGTGTTTTGTCGAATACAGTTTTTTAAAAAACTATTATTCCAAAGTCGAAATAAAATGTTCAAAAAGTTTATTTATTATCTTTTGACCATTCCTATTAAATTGCGGTTGTTAGTAATAAATAAATATGTGTACTAAATTCAATAAAAAGTATCATATAAAACATTACAGGACAAGAATGGCACCTTGGTGAACGAATGATAATGATGTATATAAAATATTAAACGATTGTTTGTACTTGTCATTCATTCAGCCCTGGTGTTTAAATTATCTAACATCAACAATTGTTTAAAATTATTATTTCTTACTATTTAAATTTACTTTAGCCACTTTGGTTACTAAGGAATCCGTGTTTTAATCCAAAAGTTTTGTCTGTAGAAACCTTCAATTCATCAAGCTTATACCAATTTATGTTCTAAAATTCGAGTAAAAAAAAGTTTTATTAACTTTACTTTTTCTTTTCCCTTCAAAATAACTCTGGTTGTTCATAGAGAGGTTTTTCTTATCTTTTCTTCATCACCCTTAATGGCAACTTAAAAAACTTTCATCAGAAGACATAAATCAATGCATAACTATAATCAGGCCTTAAAAGTGTAAGTTTTAAATTTATAATTTGAAAAGTTTATAGTTATTGTACTATTGGGGATATTGAAAAAAAAAAAAAAAAAAAAAAAATGATTGTTGAAATTCTAATTTTTCACTTAATTTCAATAACTTTTTCTGGTTGATGCGTTGATGACCTGAGGGTTTTACACCTATAAACAACAAACTTTTTCCGATTCTCCATACCAATTCGAAATTTGCGGCTTCCCCAATCAAGTCTGTAGCAACTACATTTAACTATTAAAATAAAAGGAAAAAAGTAAGCAATTTTTCCTCATCAACAATCATTGTTACCAAACTAGAAATAAGAAATGGCCGAATGAATGATGAATCCAACGTTTTTCTTTTTTTTTTCAGATTGCTTTAGTATTTTTCAACACATACATACCAACAATTTAAGAAATCGACATGTTCTAAATAAATGAAATGAAAAACTAAATCTTTAAATGTTTTGCATGTTTGATATGGCCAAATTAATGACCATCAATGAAAATATTCTACAGAGTGACAGATATCTTCGCACTCTGAATAGTAAAACAGTAATGACATGTTTCAGAACCTCTAACCTGTTACTTATACTGGTAAAAAAAATGGCTGATACAGGAATATAAAACATATGAAAATTATAGAAAACGTGAGATGAATTAAGACAAATATTTCTTCAGCTCCTACTTTTATTTTTCTTATGCTGTATGAAAAACAGAGTTATTTTAATTATCATGAACAGTTAATTAATTAGTATTCTAAGACTCAAATTCATAATATGACTTCTAAAGTAATAAATAATTCAACAAAGTCGGAAAGGATGCGTCTGGACATGGTGAATGAATGATATTTAAAACTGAAATTTTTTAAACTAAAAGTCACTCAATTCGATAATTAATTAATGTTGAATATAGATAAAGTTCTCTTGACTATTGGCTTATTCCTTTTGGATTTAAAATTATTAATGGGAAGTGGCAAAACACTTCGGACAATGTTTGACGCTTTCTGGGAGAATGGCCCATTCTATAATTATTAAAGGTAAATTGAAATTCAAAAGGTAAATATTTGGAATGGGGTCAACTAATCCACTGAAAAAATTTTGGATAACCTTGGTAGAAAAGTGGAATCAAGTTTGACATTAACATGGAAAAGAACAGACTCTCGGGAATAGCAGGTTAGGCACAGACTTCAGGCTGGAATATGCTCATGAAGCATTTGACACAAGTTCACAACTTGACAAAACCCACTTATTTTTATTTAAGAAAAAAAGTGTGTTCAGCCGAATTCATATTAATTTCAGGAGCTTCTATAATACATTTAGGACAATTAACCATTTGTGGATAGCTAAACTGAATTAAAAGAATTAGATTATAATACAGTTCAAATAACTACTCCAGGGCATAAAATTTTTATTACCTATTAAAAAAAAAAGAAAGAACAGTAAAAGATTAATTTAAGTTCAATTATAATTAACGTTAAATTTATTTGTTAATATCGTTAAATTAGACTACTTATTTATAAGTGGGATTACTGCTCATTAAAGAAACATTGTGGAAACAAGATAAAATATCAAGTGATTAAAATTCAATTTTATTATCTACCTCTTTTAAACTGGTCAATAACTTAAGTTACCCTTGTAATGGCTCATTATTACATTAAAATAAGTTAACTTTTCTTTATAAATGAAAACTGATAAAGATAATTAGTTATGCTTAGATTACCTATTATTAGGGGAGTTAGATCAGTGGTAGGATACTGAGCTTCCAAAGCTAAAGGGTCCCAGGTTCGAATCCTGGCTCATGGCAGAAAAATTATTTATTCTGTTTCATTGGATGTGGGGCGACCACATGGTTGGGTAGGTAGACCCTCCTGGGGCACACCCAGCCTCTACAAAGTGGATACCCTTAATTAAAATTAAGGGGAAAAAGTTTGCGAAAAAAAGTAGTAGCGAAAAACTGAATGGGATACATTTCCACATCTCTCTCATCATCAATCTTTTTAGGAGGAGCCGGAATAAGTGGTAGTTGGATGGTGCTAGGTCTGGTGAATACGCTGAGTTTAATAAAATATTCCAGCCAAGTTGCACTAACTTTAACAGTGTGATTATTGCGGAGTATGGTCTGGCGTTGTCATGCTTTGTGATTGACTGATTCTGGCTGTTTCTGTCGCAATGCTTGGTCAGTAGTTGTTCGAATCAATACTTTTTCCTTGAGGAAGCAACTAGTAAAACCTATGCAACATGGTAACCCACCATATGGAGAGTGAAATATTTTCCAGCCTTCGCAGTGGCACTAGGCGCCTGTTAGCTGTTGCCCACGATCTCCTGCATACTAAATAGTTGCAGATGATCCACCCTTCAATATTCGATCGAGAACGGATCCGTTTTGTGCCAGTTCAGAACAGAGTTGCAGATTGATATTAGGTTGTTCAGATTTGCCTTAGTCAGTTTATGTGACTCCCATATAAATAATAAAAAAAATATATACATAAATAAATATAAAATAAACAGAGAAAGATATAAATAAACAGTATTGGGGGGAGGGGTACTTAGAGAGCTTTACGACAACCTCTTACGTGCATATGATGGTCAAGTGGATTGGGAATGGAATATGTGCGATAGAGGAGAGATTTGAAAGATCAGACTGACTCTGAGTATCGAATATTAGGAGGGATAGAATTCCAGAGAAAGAGGGCTTGAATTACAAAGGATTTCTCAAATACAGCAGTTCTGTGAGGAGGAGGATAGAGGTCGGACATATGGGATCTGGTGGGACGGGATTGAATGGAGAATTTCAACTGTAGGTTCTGTAGAATATAGGAGTGTCACAGAGTCTAATAACCTGGTATAAGAAGGTAGAAAGGAAATACTAATGGGGGAGGGCGGACAGAACCACTTCAACTAGGTGTAATACTGGGAATATTTGTATCTCTTGAGATCCCGAAAACAAAGTGTATTGAGCAATTCATTACACGTTTAAGTTTGACTTTGAGTTCTCCTGAGTCTGCCATACGCCACAGCCATAGTCGAAGTGGGGGAAAACAAGCGAAGAAACAAGGAGTTGACGAGTTCTCAATGGAAGGAGATAGCGGTTGAACTGTTTCAGGATGGAAATAGTATGACAGCAAATTTGGGAGATGTGTGGTTTCCAGGAAAAGGTTTGATCAAAGATAACAAACATGGTTTTCAACGGTAGTATGGAAGGAGATAGGTGAGTTGTTCAGGAGAAGATTGGAGGTACAGTAATGGATTTGAGGAGTGAGGGGAATCTAATCAGGATGGCATTTGCCTTCTCGGCATTTAAAGAGAGCGTCATTGAGATATGCCCAAGCACATATTCTATTGATATCTTCCTGGAGTTTAAATATAGCATAGGAGGATTCAGCCGGATCGAAAGAAAAATAAATTTGAACGTCATCAGCAAACAGGTGGTATTGACAGTGCAGGATACAGAAAAGGAGATCATTGATATAGATGGAAAAGAGAGTGGGAGATAAGGAGGAACCTTTGTTGAACTCCTCTGGATAAGGGCAGAGACTCTGATGGAGGATTATTAGGAACTACGACATACTGGGAGCGACCGGAAAGGAAGGATTGGAAGCAGTTAAGGACACTAGATGAAAAAGAGATATTTTTGAGTTTCATTAGGAGTAAATTATGGTCCACTGAGTCAAATGCTTTGGAAAAATCAAGGAGAATAACAATGGTGAGTTTGTTTGTCTATAGTTGTGTGGAGATTTTAATGAGGGCGAAATGGGTAGAGCAGTCAGGTCTAAAACCAGATTGGTGTTAGCAAAGATCTACTTATTGGACATTAGGTATTATTATAATTGTATTTATTTTATTCTGATCACCCCAAGCATCCTTCTATTCTATTATTTTTTATATAGAAGTTTCGTAATTGACTATGAAAAAAAAATTGTATCCCCTCTCTCAAAAGTTTATCGCATTTAACTACTTCCTTATAATAATATCATTTGAGGACTTACAAATATACAATGTAAATTATTCATTTGAACCAACTATTAAACTTAAGAACAGAAAACTAAAATTTAAAACATGAAAAACCTTACCCTGAATTCAGATGGCTAGGTTTCACCAAACTTTTTAGATTCCTCAGAAGCATAAAATATCTAAGAGACCTAGATACAATTTTAATTTTATTAGATATACATAATTCAAAAAGTTGTAACCAAGAAAAAAAAAACTGAATGTACATACTTAAATATCATAAAGTACATTGATAAAGCCCAACAAATAGTACTAGCAGTCCACCATGGATCGCTCTTTATTTTTAATAGTTTACAATCAGCCGCCCAGGCAACATGCTCTAGTGGATAATACACTTGATCAAGTAAGTTAACAGCCAACCCACAAAATCTCATTAATCTATCTGGATCCTAAAACATTATATGAAATATAGTTCATTATTTTCAAACTTCAATTGAAATAAATCAAAAACAAATAAATTACTGGATTTTAAATTTATGTATTTAACTAACTTGATATAAAACCCCATGGGAAGGGGATGTTCTCCTTGATTAAAACTATGAAACTCTACCTCTTTTCCAAGGCCATAGGACAAAGTGTAGCAAAGCATTGGCGCATCATCAAAAAGCCTCATTACTGTCCTACAAGAATTTATCTGGTCACTTAATATGTCTAATTTCTGGGCTAATTTATCTGATGTAGTAAGACCTCCAACTAACTGAGAGGAATAGTACAAAATTCTCATGATTCTATCACGTCCACCATAGGTATCTACATAATCAGCATATTTCTGAAGTTTCATACTGATATTTATAAAATTAAATTAAAAATAAATAAATAAATCGGGTCCTTAACCATCAATTAATCAAATAAGTACAGATATTATTTGAAGCCCTATAAAACACGAACTCTTCCATGCTCTCTGTTGTCATCCAAGAGTTATCTGTCATTAGGTGATAAGCTTGAAGTTATATGTAGCAGGTTATAATAGGCAAGTTCCTAACCTCAGCGGTGAGCTCATCGGTGGCTTCAGGAATCCACCAGACCGTTCAAACAGAAAAAACCTGATTCATAAATTGCTCTCCATACAAAAATATTTTAGTCATTATTTTCAGAACTTTAATACCATCTATTAATGTGTAAATGGCTTGTAACTGACATATTGTTAAAAACAAATATTTTGTTTGTTGGCAATTTTGCAGGTTACTATTATCTGCTCAACCTTACTTTCATGTAACCTAGTCATCTTTGAATTTTTCTTAATTTTGGGGTTGACAAAATTCGCATCCCATGTGACGAGTGTAAAGTATTGCTATAATATGCTTCGTTCCAGCTCAATGCGGTACGCTTTGTGTATTCTCAAACAGCATCAAAGGTGTACGTCTTCTATACCAACTCCAGCTTTGAACTCTGATAAGATACCTGAAGAAATTTCTTGTGATACTCAGAAAAAAACTGAAGACGGTATTGCAAAAGAAACAATTAAAGATTCTACCACCCATAGATCAAGTCTTGTTAAGAAAGCATTTTCCAATTTGAAGCACAACCTACAACCCCTAGGAAGCAGGACTAACATTGATGAAATAATTAAAGAAGCTAAGACTCCTGAGGAGTTACTTAAACTTATAGAAAAGAACTACCTTACTAAAGGGGAAGCCTTGAAGGTGTCTTTAAATTGTATTTTAAATTTTAACTTGATATTTTTTTTTTTTAAGTACATCTAGCAGTTGTATGTATTGTTGCATTTGAATAGTATTTCAGCCATTGGTTGAGCTCATTAATTTAATACCTTTTTCTGGTTGAAAGATGATGTTAAACTATAACAGTCATGTGCAATTAAGCATATTTTATAAAGCTAACATAGAAACAACTAAGGACACAGTTACTTTAAAAAGTAGCTAATGAAGCTCCTATATTGAAAATGATTATTTAAACTATGAGCTCATTTTTTTTTTTCTATCTTTTAGTATTATAATTCCTTTTAATACTAAAAATGTATATGTAGGAAAATGTATTTAAGTGTTTTAAACATTTTAGATTGTTTCTACCCTTACTGAGTGGTCTTTGAAAGGACGAGTAGATTCTAGTTTCGAATCAGACCCTCGATTCAATTCCCTATGTAAGTTACTTGGGAGGAACCCCAATAACACAGTACATTCAAAAACTGCTGTTCAGAATGAGGATTTGTCATTTGTTTTGAGAGTCACAGGAGAGGACGAAGCTGCCAAAATTATTGATGGCCTTGGTCTTCCTCAAATGATTAAGGTAGTTTGTTGAATTATCTTTATAATTATGTTTACACCAGAATATGTTTATCAAATTAAGTTTTTGACTCATTTGATAATTTATTTGACAAAGTATTTTAGAGTTTTCATTCGAAGAAATCTTGAAATTTGTACCGTAGAACTTAAAAAATCAGGTCGAGTATATAATAATTGTTAGACGGGTCAATATTCCATTATTAGTTACTCTCAATAGCTATGCGAGAATGAAAGAATTGACATGGGTAGTTGGGGAATAGCTCTAGCCATGTTTATTTCTTTTGAACCCAATAAATATTTTAAATCTGTTTTGTTAACGAATTGTTGATAGGTAATACATTTAAAAAAAACTTTTAATGGTAAACTTTTGACATTCTGTACTATTAATCATTTTGCTACATTTATATTAGTTTGAACCTTGAATTCAGAAGTTAATGAACTTAAAAAAAAACATTACTGTCATCAATGTTAAAGAAATTTCTTTTTGTAACGAATGATTGAAAATATTAAATTCCGATCTACTAACAATTTTAGTATAGTTATGGTTTTTTTTTGTAATTTTTAAATGCTGAATGTAACTGAAAGTAATGAAGTGGTGGAGGGACTGATAATAATGATGACTACCAAGAATAGATGCTGCTTTGCCATGCGGTAAATACTGAATTACAGATCCCTCTTTTATAGAACCAAGATCATGATGTACAAGACATGTTGTCACCAATGGTCCTTGAAACTTTGTAGATATTTAAAGTTTCAGAAAAGACGCTAGTTACATGGGAAATATGGGATCTGTAGTCATGTGTGATTATAGTTGATTATAGAATTCATAGCAATTAGGAATTATGCCATAACCGATGTATGCAATACTGAAATAGGCTTCTATTATAAAGTATACCCAAATCAGATGGTGGGATCATGTGCATATATCCAGAGATACAATTTCCAAATGCCTACTTGAGGATCAACCTGGTGGAAGACATGTTAGAGAAAGATCACATCTGAGATGGCAAGACTAGGTGAAGAACATCCTGAAAGAGAGAGAAATCTGAAAATAACAAATGCTTCCCATGATAGAGGAGAGTGAATGAAGCTAATAAGAAAGGCCCAGGTTTTTAAAGAACCATAGAACCAATAATAAGCCGGCGGGGTGGCCGAGCGGGCTAATGCATATGCTCAGCACCATTTGTTGCCGTTACCCGGATTAAAGATAATTTGATAAAAATAATTAAAATTTCTCCTGCAGGTGCCATGGGAACTTTAATTCTGATATTAAATTAATCCCTCGCCCTCGTCCCCTGGCCCAAGAAAACCCCGTGTAGCCTAGAAGGCGAGGACCCAAAAAAAAAGAACAATAATAAATAATGCAGCTTTTTATATATATTAAAAAAAAATCTTGTGCGCACAACACATAACTTTCACTTACTGTTGTACTTCAAAAAGCAATTCACCTCTGGCAAGATTGAGCTATTACAAGAAATTTTTGAAGTACATTTTTACTGGGGCTAAAACTTGAATATATTTTTTAATTTTGGTCATACTCAGCAATACAAAAACTCATGAAGACCATCAAAATAACCAAAACCCTATTTATTATATCCATTGTAGGCAACAACTGTATTAGTCTATTTGAATCACAGACTTTGAGCCATATAGACAAAGAGATATTTGAAAGTACATGTATTTAATTATGAATAAGTAAGGTCATACTGCACAATAAAAATTATAGGAACTAAATCTATATCACTTTTTAAATGTACTTAAATTCTTATTTTTTACCCTTGAAAATTTATTTAAAAAAAAAAGTTACTTGTTTTCAAATACAGCATCGATAAGTCAAAAGTCATAACACTGATTGTAAGTGTATAATCTGATTTCACTAAGAGAAACTTTTTTTGACGATGTATACCTAATTGGGTAATTATTCCGATCAGGACCGCACAGTTTACGCGTAATTCACAATCACTTCATTCACACTTGTTAATGAAACGATGAAAACAGTTGAATGTTAAACTCGGATGTATTCGACACAAACAAATTAAGTCGGCATGAACAAGTGTGACCGAAGTGATTGTGAACCACGCCTAATTCGTGCGGTCCTGATCGAAATAATTATCCTTAATTGTTTAAATATATAATTGGATCTAGAGTTATTAAACTACAGTAAATTTATTTAAGGTTATAAACAGAAGTTTTATCCATCCAAGAAATATGTTTATATTTCACTTATTCTTTCACACAAGTACAATGAATTAGTTTTTTTAACAATGTCATTGCTTTGATTTGGTGGGTTTTATAGTATTTTTTTTCAAACTTAAACATAATTTTGAATGTTTATATTTTGTTACGAAATTTCATATCATTTCCTTGGAAACATGTTTTCGTTAAATAATATTAGTTTTCAGAAATTATTATTGATAATTTTTTGTCACTCTCCTTTGACTTTGCATGTTAGATATTGTTTTTCCTTTCCAACGATATATTATATGTATTTTTTTTTTTAAGTTGCCTCAGGGCACATGGACCCCTGAAGGATCTATTGTGCACCAATTAAGTTATTCGTTTATTATCAAAACGTTATTTTTGCCGCTTCCGTGTATCTTAGTAGGCTGGTTGGATTGACCGTCTCATATCTACTGGGGAGATCCATTCGTTCCTTCCCAAATAGTTCCAGTCTCAGCCTTGCGAATCTATCACATCGACACACAATGTGAAAGGCTGTTTCGTTCTCTTGACAGAATCTGCATAGTGGATTCGTCATTACTCGGAGATTGAACATATGGTAATTTAACTTACAGTGGCCTGTGTAGATTGCTGTAATCTTTTTAAGAGCTGCTCTGCCCATACTCAGTAGCAGTTTGCTTCTTTTTTCACATGGACCTTTAAGGAACAGCTTCAAATTTCGCTCTTTCTTCTCAGTCCTGTATTTTTTTAATATGTTCCCATAAATCTCCCTAATCCTACTAAGGCTGATTCCACAAACAGGTTCAGGAGTTATGGGGATGGTATCTGAGCCCAATCTGGCTAGTTTATCTGCCTCTTTGTTGTCTAGTATGCCCGAGTGACCAGGCACCCACTCCACTGTAACTCTATTATGCTCTGATGTGGGTGGGGTGGCTGAATGGGCTAAAGCGTGTGCACTGCACCGCCGTTGCCTGGCAACCTGACATATGAATCAAAGATATAAAAATAGTCACGAGTTCGCGTCCCGGTGCCGGAGGAGTCTTTTAAATTCCCGCCCACATTCCCTAGCCCGGGAAAATCCCGTATAGCCTTAACGGCGAGGAAGGGAAGGACCCAAAAAAAAAAAAAAAAAAAAAAACTATTGTGCTCAGTCAGTTTGTTAAGTGCTGTGTTCCATTCCTTAACAACCTTTGAATACACATAATAATTGTTTAGAGCACATATTGCTGCCTGACTGTCTGTATAGACCGTAATCTTTTGCACAGTCACATTGCTTCGCAGTAGGTTTTGAGCACAATGGCAAATTGCTAGTATCTCAGATTGAAACACTGAGGCATATCTGCCAAGAGGTATGAAATCTCTTTCTTTGTTATCTTTATGATAGATGCCTGCTCCTGAGCCAGAGGCTGTTAGAGAGCCATCTGTATAACAATTAATACAATTTTTGGTTTTTGTTGTCTGCTGCTGTCTATCTCAACCCCATATTTACGGTCCTGATATTCCTGAATTAGAGTGTCAGAGTGCATGACTAGCACTTCGTCACGTCCAATCCTATTCATCAGTACTGTGTGTCCCCATTGACAGGGGATTACAGAGCACCTTTTCAGCTTGCTTAGCCTGTATAATGTATTTGTTGCTCGAGCCTTCACCTCCAGCTGCAGCGGTGGCATGTTCAACATTGCCTCCATAGCAGCCGTCAGTGTAGAGCCCATCGCACCCGTTATCATCATACATGCCAGTCTTTGGATCTTTCCTAATAAGGATGAGTTACCTGCAGTCTTTGTTTTATGCCACCATAGCAAAGCTGAGTAAAGTAGGATAGGTCTAACTGTCGTTCTGTACAGCCAGTATGCCATTTTAGGTTTGAGTCCCCAATTTTTCCCTATCGCTCTTTTACAGGCCCATAGGCATTTGAGGGCTTTGCTTGTCACGTTCTGAACACGTTTAGTCCATGACAGTTTTTGGTCCAAAATGAGTCCAAGGTGTTTTACTTCCTTGCTATGTGTTAGTTGGGTACCATTAATTTCCGGCATTTTAATAAACACCTTTTGCTTCCTGGTGAAGATACACACATTAATTTTCCTAGGGTTGATCCTCAGTCTGTTAGTCCTGTACCAATTCCTAAGAATATTAGACACTGTGTTGAGGAGATCAGAGAGGACACCTTGATGCTTACTAGAATAAATAATTTATCTGTCATCAGCAGGATATTAACCCGAGACCTTGAGCTTTGGTAGTCAGTGGTAATCAACCGGCTTTGGCTAGAGTGAGAAAATCGAGATTTATTTCTTCGTTCTGCCACAAAATAAATTTCAACCTTTCCCAGGCCAGAATCGAACTGACTTGGCTATCATGACCTCACTTCACCATTTCATATATAGTTTATTATGCTAATAAGGATGTGGAATGTAAGAAACTTATCAATGATGTAAAGTTCTTTATTAACCTTAGTCTTCTTCACTTTAGATGAAATGTTTCTTATTAATCAAAATTTGTTTATTTTTATTATAATTTTACAGGTTCTATCATCACTATCAGCCAAAAAAAGACGCTCTTTACCTCTATTAAGGTCACTTGCATTTCATATTGGACGAATTCCTTCAAAATTAGATGTTAAGCAGTCTGCAGATATCTTGTATGCTCTGTCCACACTTAATTTCCCAGATGAGGTAATAGTAATAACTTATTACTTTTCATTATCAATATGTAATTATTCAAAGATATAAATATGGCATGTAAAAAAAAATGTTGTACTATGTCTTATTATTATTATTATTATTGTTATGGGTGGTTATATCTCTTTCCGTATATGGCCATGGTGGTTTATTTGTTTGATGATCTTGTGGTATATTTCAGAAATCTTATCTCAACAACAGTTTTCGATCAGAAATTTCTTCTAGTTTGACTTCATGTTTCTTTTTCTTATTCAATGATAAAGAGTACATAAAAACTTCATACGATACCTAAAGTATTTATAGAATGCTTTAATTAGTATTGAGCAGTCCATCTGCTACAAAGCTTCCCACACCTTAGTCTGTCCTCAGTCAAAGGCCTCATGGAAATCCCTAATCATCTGTTGCTGTGAATTTTAGTATTCCTTGCATCAGTCGATTACAACTCATACAGATCTACTTCTTCACATTTTATCCAAAATTTAATTTTCATTTCAAATAATAGTTTTTATTTTTCTTTCAGGTGCTTTTAGAGAAAGTATGTCATGATTTAGTTGAAAGTATACCAGTATGTCAGAAATCAGCTGTATTTGGATCAATATGTACCAGTTTAGGCTTGTTAAAGTATAAAGATTCAGGTAAATAATATTTTTATATTGTATCATGTATTATGATGATACTAAATGATAATAGATATCATTGTGCATTCTTAAATTATCATTATTGTGTACTAGCATGGTCATAAATTGATTAATTTTATTTTTTGTAAGGTGTCCATAGCTAGTCATTTTTCTTCTTTTATTGGTGATTTAACTTAAAGTAAACTATATTAAATATTAATATTGAACTTAAAGTTTTAAAAACTTTGAAGTAATATGAAACAGTTCTATGTATGTGATGCATTTATTCTGTTTTCTGAGGTCTATCCATTCACTATTTTTGCTTATTCATCACTGATCATAATTTAGTCATTATGTGATCCCTTAGGGCACTATATTTTTTTCAGGACCTTTATTTTCCTCTTGCATTTCTTTGTTAAAACCCAGATGTCACAGCCATAGGTGACCATTGAACTTTTAATAGTTTCACTAACTAAATTATATACTAATATATTCTGTTATTGTGTAGCTTTTTCTAAGTATCTATTAAAATTGTTGGATCTTAAATAGATTTAGACTCCTAGGCTTCTCAACCTTTTTGTAATGTGGGAGCATACCATGTTGCAAAAAAAATATTCGCAGGCAAAGTCAAATCAAAAAAGAAATAAATAGTTTTATTTTTAGACATAATAGTTAGACAATAAATTATTGTCTCCTTTATTAGAAAATTATGTTTTCTATTTTATGTTATTCCTGTGCTCACATTGTATTCCCCCACAAATGCTTTCTCTCCTTGTTGCTAGCCTTGTTCGTTTGTTTCGATGTCTAGACGCAAAACATCCAGATCATCAGTGCCCGATCAACTAAATAACACTACTTTTATACTGTTTGAATAGTTGGTACAAAAAATAAAAATAAAAATAGGATAAAATAAAAATATAAAAGGATAAAAAAATAAATAGCCTTGTATTTTTAATATTTGAGGGTACTTAATTGAGGGTTATAGCTGCAACACTATTCCTCCATAGTTCGAGGAGTTTTTCTACCTTAAGCTTTTTCTCAGTATACTGTAGAATACAGCTCAGTATACCCTCTTAACACTGCTTTGGGAATTATATATTATACAAAAGTGATTAGGTTACAAAAAATAAATAGAGTTTTTATTAACTAATGGCAAACTTAATGATTATTGGATTTTTTAAAGGCTTTTTGAAATTTTGATAATGTATATACTCCTGAAGATAAGGCATTTGGCTTAAAAGAAAGAAAAGAGACAAGATTTGAACTATTCTTTTTAATATTTTCAAACAGAAAATTCTATATTTATTTATCTCTGGCATGTGCTTAACAGTAACACACAGAAAATGCTAATGTGTCAGATTAATTTTTTTAAATTAAAAAATCTTGAAAATATGAATATCAGAATAAGTTATGATAGATAACCAGAAGATAGAGAGGAAGGCAGACATTTTTTCGATTATATCACTAAGCTGAAGGCTGTAGATAAAGATGCAGCTTACAAAAAAGTATTATTTTAAGTTAGAGGCAACATTTACTGGCTAGATGAAATAGAAAATATTCCTAATACCTCCAAATATTGAAAAAAAAATTATGAACAATCCAAGCAAATAAATAAGAGGAGAAAACAGAAAAAAAATAAAAGAAAATCAGATTCGGCCAAGATCTAGCACCTTAAGTGACCCATCTCCAGAAAATAACTTCTGAACTCTGGTATTTTTTTTTCCATACCTGTAATAGGAATATATACCATATTATTGTTATTTTTTGTCTATTTGTTTAAATTTTTTTAGAAAAATTTTCTAAGGCAATACTTTCAATTTATATTGTTATACAACTGTCACTGTTGCCTCACACACAAGCAGATATTTCAAAGGCAGACAACTTTTTATCCACAGAATGCTACAATAGTTGTAAAAATAAGGCCCTTACTTCTTTAATATTCTCATGTGATCAGATTGGGGTCTTGCATCTCAACTTCGTTTTTCTTTACCATTCTATTACAACAAGCCTTGTACTTTGTTGCTCCAGCACATGTTAGTAATTGAGTCGGTTTAGGATCTCTCCCACTCACCTATTGCTTGAGGGCATCCATTTCAAACAAGTTGACTTTCCACACCTTGCAATTACAATTTAATTATTAATCAAATCACACTAAGTTCTTCTTTTGCTACCCATCAGTGCAGTACTTAGTTATTTTCTATAAAATTCTCCAACCTTCTTACAAACTTTTTAACTCATTCTTGATAAAATTTTGGATTTCAAGAAAACTGAAACTCCAAGTTTTTCTAAACCTTTTTTACATATATACATTAACTAGTTATATATTTAATATCTAACATATATTGATTTAAACTTAGATATGATTTTTGTAATATACAGTAGTCACAATTCTTTATTTAAAGAAGGTGACACTATTAATCTATTTTAGTTTAAAACAAGTGGTTGTTTTTGAATAAATATGCCATTATTAAGAATTTATTAATTTATAGAATTACTTGAAGTGCTGTGTGACTGGGCGCTGACGAAAAAAGAACTTTGTAGGTGTCAAGACTTTGTCTCACTGCTTTTATGTCTATCCAGTGTGAGGCATATTCCAAACCAGGAACTTCTAACGGTAAAATTTAACAATAATTTTCTTAAGAATATTTTTTTAAATCAAATTAGCTTATGATCTAGTAGATAAATTTATATATGTACAGTGCACTATCAGTAATTTTAATAATTGCTGTAGAAGGATTTCGGCCAACCAAAACGTTTGTATCACAGAGCTTAAGCTGCATACAATTAAAACTCAATAATCACAATCAACTACGTTAGCTAGATTAATATGTATATACTCATTTGAAAACATTGATTTTCCATGTATAAAAAGAAATTTTTTAAGACTTCAAAAATTGTTTTTAAAAATCAAATGGTTCTGTTGCCACTGGATATTGTTTTCTGTTGCCAATACAAAATAAAAATGACTAAACGGAAAACTGTATCTTCTTAGTTTACTGTTTTACTAATTCAATAAAATAAAAAATTATGGAAGTTCAACTAGACAGGTGATTGCCTCTTTATTATTTGTTTCTAGCATCTTCTCTCTCCCTTTTGGTTTATTATTTTCAATAATAAACCATTGTAATTGAACTAAAAATTAAAAAACTTAACTCCCTCTCAAAATTTGAGGTTTTATGTTTGAGGAAATGTAGAATTTGAAAAAAATTTTGTCCGTCCGTCATCCGCTTATGTTATCCGAAACTACTAGACCGATTTTTTTCAAATTTGATTCAGAAATAATAATTTCTGAAAACTGGCATATAGTCTACTAAGTCATTCTGTCCATTGAAAGAAACACATAGCTCAGAGACTGAAGTTATGTGGTTTATAAAAGCAGATAGAGTAACTAGTTTCTTATTGCCTACCATCGATATAATAAATAGAGTTTTTGTCTATGGTCTTAGTGATTAGTTATCTGTAAGGTTTGAACAATAACCAACATTGCCAAATGTTAAATAATTATTACTAAACAAGAAAATAATTTCTATTCTAAGTAGAGTGGTAAATGAAAGTTGTGTATTGCATACTACAAATAAGGTGGTTACCGATCTTTAATCTGATTCCAGTCATGTACTTGGAGGTCTCGAAGATATTTAATAGGATTAAATTCTGGGCTGCGAGCTGGCCACTCCAAGGTGCAGACACTAACCTTGTCCTAGGTAGTCCTGTACTACATTTTAGATGTGTGACCGAGCATTATCCTGCATTAAAAGGAAATAGAGGGCAATGAAATGGCTGATATACACATTCCTCAATTTGTATATATCTTTTCCAATTTTAACCTCCATGTTTGTTTATAGTTTACAATACCATTGCGAGTTCTCATTCTAAGTTCCTAAGTAAGTTCCAATGCCAAAGTAGCATTTTTAATAACATTGAATTATATCAAACTGTGTTTAACAAGATACAGTCAATTTAAATAAGAAGTCATCTTAACTCTGCAACATTTCAAACCAAATTTTCACAGTTTGACTCATTTTTAGATAAGCCACTTTGGAATTGATCTGAAGACACATTACTACAGACTAATTGTTATTCCAATGTTAATTATTTTAAATTAAGTATAGTGTTATATTTAATGCATCTATTCTTGATATTGAGGCACTCATTGAATTTTTAATGCTTTCATTTTGAATCTCTTTTGACAGATTCTGTCTCAGATAAAGGAAGGTGACTTACCATCTGCATCAACATGGTTAGATGTTGTGTGGTCTCTTGCAGCCTTAAATGTTGTAACAGAAGCTCAACTCTCTTCTGTTCTCAACTCTAAATTTGTTGACAGATTAACTTCATCTGCCTGTAATTATACTTCAACTTTATCCTAGTGTAATATTTACACACACACACACATACATATATATATATATATATATAAAGATTTACAAATAAATAAAATAACACAATTTATTTAGTCAAATTAATAATATATACATATATATATATATATATATATATATATATATATATATATATATATATATATTCTTTATTTACAGCTTACTAATCAATCCATATGGACATAACTTTTACATTAATATATATATAAGGAAAATTTAGAATGAAAATATTAAACAAATTTTATTGTAAACTTTGTCTTAGTCTACATACAAAACAGAAAAAAGAAGGCAAATAATAATAATTTGTTGTTAGTGCATAGTTTTATATTATTGTATACTTAAATTTAAAATAAATAAGTAATAAAAATTCCCACTTTAAAATTGTTATTAACTACTCTGTATTAATTCTTACATGTTGAATTGCTTCTTCAGAATCCCATTTCAAGATGCGAAGATTTTTTTTTCTTCAATGTTACTGAGTTGCACATTTAAAACACTGATCTCATACAATACTTAAAACCAACTTGGTTCTATAACTTAACTGCCACCAGGCAAATATCCAAACCCTTCTGCCTCTTTCTCATAAATTAGAACTACTCTTCTTATAATTCTTTTTCTTTTTCTTCTGGGATGTATTCTTTTTTAAATGTTGTATATTTAAATGACAGAAATTAGGTTCCTATCCAAAATTTATTGCTTAATATGTGTACCTAAAAAACGCTTACATGCCTGCTCCATGTTACAATGTTTTTTTATTGTGATGCCAATTAACTGTGAACAATTTTAGCTGGCTTATCTTGGAAAAGGAAGTTGTTGAACCTGAATGGAGTTGCCAAATGGACTAAAGGTTACAAAGGTCAGTTGTTTTTATTATTATTATTTTAATTAGTCCTTTTATCTGTAGATATTTTTTAGTATAAACAGTTAAGCTTGATTTTATGTTTAACTTATTATTCAAAAAGTTACTCTGAAATTAAGATTCCTCATTATCTAAAACTCATTATCTTTCACTCCTGAAACCATAATTGTGCTTGTGAAGGTGTCTTGAGTAAGGGAATCCAGGTGGGATTACATGTACACTCTTATGTGAGTGCTTTGAAGTTATGTTTGTAACAACATAAGGCTATGATAACAAATAACAATGGAGTGATAGTTGAAAAAATACAGAAAATGTGATTATAAATATAGATTTAAACAATAATAAATTAGGAAAATTTTGTTCACACATTAATTATGAATTGAACTATGACTGTCCAAACTATAGTAATGTTTTTTGGTTTTTTATTATTATTTTTTTTACTTTCACTTACCTATATATGTAATATACAGGCTGTTTCAGGGTTAAGTGGCCAAACTGCAAAAATGAACCCCAAATGTAAAAAAAAAATGAACCTGTATAAGGACCCCAAAACAAGAAAAAAATTTCCTTTGTAGATATGTCCGCAAATGGTTTGTTTAAGAGATGTTCACACCTAAAGATTTTCATTTGTATGGATTATTTAAGTACTTGCACCCCAAACAAAAAAATCCAGAGGTGTCAGGTCTGGAGAGCGTGCAGGCCAAGCCACTGGTTCTGCACGGCCAATCCATTGATTGGGATATGATTGAGCAAGTCCGGGCAATGAACATAATTCCTTACAAAGAAGGATAATTAAATCTTGTGAAACAATAATACATATCCAGTGCCGTTCTGCCACTGCTGCTGTTGAAGAAAGATGCCGAGCCTGTCTTAATGCTTAAGGAAATCACTTTCAATAACATTTAATATGAATGCTAATGTTTACATTTAATTAATAAAGTAGTACAAACAAAAAAATAGGTTTTATTTATTTATTTCATATAACGTTTTATATGAAATAAAACAGGCAGGTGGCCCGTATTAATAATTTTGTTTGTTATATCTTTGAAGCCATTTATACAAGTAAAAAAAATAAAAACTTTTCCCACATATTTCTCATTTCAGTCATCGAGTTACTGGTCTAATTTTCTTTAAAGCAGCCCCCATTTTTTAAAGAAGCAGCCCATTTACTGTTGGACTAACAGTGGAAAGTTGTTTTTTATAAGTTGAAGCACTGTAAAAACTGGCATGGAATGACCTCATATATTTTAATATATCATTATTGATTATATTTGCAAGGGGTAAAATCATTGTAGTCCTGGTTGTAGAGCAACATGATGTCATAATAAAAAAGTTCACTTCTGGAAATGGTGTAAATGACCATTTTTAGTACTATTATTTATTTTTTTTTTTTAACTGAGTTCTCCATTAATCATAGCTGAGAGCTGCTATCAAAAAATTTCTTTGGACCAGCAGCCTCTACACCTTTTTCATGAAATGACACATATAGGCAGTTCAAGTATATTTGTAAGATGTTTTTAAAGGCTGCCTACATAATGTTTTATCTTTCAACTAAAATCAATGGTAACTGTATCTATAATCAGTATTAGCTGTATCTAAAATTAATATTTACTTGCAATTTTTATGTTTTTAGGTTCTCTAATCAATGAGGACTCTAACTTAGAAGCTACAGTGCCCAGATCCAAAGATAGGCAGCAACTGGCAGTCTCCATTCTTGATACACTTTCAAACCTATTTCCTTCTTCCAACTACTTTAAATCATGTGTTGATACTGGAATGGGTTTTTTGATTGGTAATAATCTAATTATTTTATATCAGCTTTTTTATTGATTACAAAATTTGTTTTACCAAATTCAGAGCAATATAGTTTTTTTTCTGAAGTTACATAAATAGAATCTAAAAATTTGTCTTTGCCTCAATTTTTATATGAAATGAAAAAAAAAAATTGAATCTTACTTTCTTTTAAGAGTGATACAAGCTGGCCTTTTATACATCTTCTTGACTGGGTTAACTCTCCCAGTTTTATGATGAGACCTAAATAAAAAATAAACTACCCCTCTCCCCACCTTACTTCTAAAGGTAAAGTTGAGTGAACTAAGCAAATTAAATTATAATATTGCCTTTATTCACTTTACACAATCATAAGCTATTAATGGAGTCCAATATTGAAAAGAAAACGGTTCAAGCAAATAAATAAAAACAATTGAACCAGAAATCAATTTTTCAATTTTAAAAGTTGCATTTTGATGAAAGTTGTGGTTGTGATGGAAAGTGCTTCACTAGTGTCACCCGGTCTGTACAGTATTTCAAACAATTTTGTGTATCTGTCACTAAGGTCTATAATAGATTGTTCTCTGGTTGGACCAGGCACATTTAATATTATTGTGGGATTATTTGATAAGGTAAAAATATAACAAACCAAGGTATGGTGTTGTGCTTAGTTTCCATACTCAAAGATCTGCAAAATCTCTCTTTACTTTCTAATCAATCTAGAATAATTAACTTTAACTTTTATAGGATTATGATTTTGTTAAATAAATAATTTTAGAAAACTTTTAATTTGTATTTTTTAATAGATTGATTTATATTAATTTCCTTACAGATGCCGAGTGTATAATAGATTCAAAAATGAATCCATTGCCCCTTATAGATAAGAAGACTGGTCAACCCATCGAAGAAAATAAAGCTTCAAAAAAGAATAGGTAATTCTTTGAGCATTTAACTTTTATTTAATGGAAGTTAAGCTTTGTTATTCTGTATGATCCAAAAAGGCTCGTAATAATAAATAAATATAACGTATTTTTAATCATTTTCATAATTTAAAATTATATAAATGGATTTTTATTTTATAAATATTATAATCCAATGTTTATTACATTTAATTCAGGATATGAATTATCATTATAATAATTTAATATTAATTTGTATAGATATTGATATTAATATTTATAATAATGCTTTTGAACTGATTACCTGCGAGCTAACATCAAATGGATCCCTCTTCAGTTTACAAATTGGTTATTTGGAACATGAGAACACTCTGTAGACCTAGGCCTTTGATGTAATTAGACTAGATGTCACTAAAAATGAATTTTGATGTCATTGCTTTTCAGGAGTAGGATGTTTAAGAAAGTTCACATCTTACACTAGAGTAGAAGTTAAGATTGGCATGAGTTAGGAAGTGCTCTCATAATAAAAATAAAATATCTTAACGTGATAATGGCCTTTATCTGATAGGCACTAGTATCGCCCAAAAAATTGACTGTGTAGTTGCTCATGATCAATGTTAGGAAATCATTAAATTATTAATACAAGTCTATAGAAATAAAATTATATCTCATACAGTATAATAAATAAATTATAAGATCTTGTAACAAAAGTTCTGTTGAGGTTGTTGCTGCTAATTATCAAAGATATATCGTTAACAATACTATAAAATTATTAAAAAATTATAGTTCTACAATTATGATGATGAATTTTCAACTGAAAACGTAATGATTATTATGATCCCACTCATTGGTTATGCAAATAATTCACATAATAAGTATACTTATCAGTGAACAAATGGTACTATAATATGGAAATAGATAAATGGAATGTTTTGTATGATGGAAGAATTAATTTCCTTTTTCTCTATCAATTACAGTGTTCCATTTTAAATAATAAACCAAAACATGTTTACAAAATATAATAGGCTGTATTTTGCTAATAAATTTTATATTTCGATGATTTATTTATTTTTTTGTTTTGTATGAGATTTAGGAGTCCATGGGTATAATGACCCTAATGACGTTTATTTTGTTTAAATTGTGCACAAATAAAATTTCCTTTTCTTTATAACTTCTTTATCCTGACATTTCTGGGTACTGTGCTTATTTTTCCCACTTGACAGAGAAGATAATCTTCTTCAATTCAATTCAATCATGGGATTTGAAGAAGAATTAATGAAGTTATGGCTCATTGACAAAAAAAAAAAAAAAAAAAAAAAACCTTTGAGAAGATATGATCTGTTGTCCCCATTTTATTTAAAACTTAAAGCTGACTCTTGTACACTTGTTGCTCTCAGTCCAAATTGTTATAGGTTGTGTTGAATAGGATCATAATATATCGTGTTATATAGTTTCATTTATAATGTCATTTTTCCAATGTATATTTCAATACTTTTTCTATTTTCACTTTCCATGATTATGTTTTGAATTTTGATTGTATATGTGTGTCCAATGCTGGAATCATGTACCTTTTTAGATATTATGACAAAATCCCAAATCAAAATTTTTTTGTAACTGCAAACGAACTTATATCTTTTCTATTTTAATTTCGTTATAAGTTTATGAAAATAAAAGTATTTTGTTATTTGTTCTTTGCCAGCAGGAAGACAAAAAAAACCAAAGGAAACAGGTATGGGAATGAAAGAATTTGATCTCTTTATTTATTATGAATGATCAGTTTTTTAAATTGTTTGTTTTGAATTGTTTATATCATAATGCATGGGTACATTACGAAGACCTTTATTTGAAGACCTCTGTAATAAATTAATAAAATTTGGCTCTCCATAATAAAGCTTTATTATAAGTTATGAACATTTATGACCATGAAAATAAGACAAAACATTTGTCTTATTTTAACTTATTTATAGAGTGAACTGCTTTGTTGATTACTTTTTAACTATCTTAAAAAATCATAGGGTTATTTTTAATAAAACTGATTTATAGTATTTGAAAGTGACTATTATGGCTATTCAAAACATTTGAGCATTATGATAAAACTTAATGATGGAGATACAAATTTAATCTTTTTATTAAAACATCACTCCTCAACAAGCGGAAATAATACAGTTCTACTGTTGCGATTCTTAATGCATGCAGGTAATGATTTGATATGGTGACTTCATGTTAGTTGTAGCTATCACATTTTTATATCTCAATCAGTAACATTTCCTCATTTCTGTTGTATGGATAATCAAATGAAATGGTGGATTATGTATTATTGAAATCAACATATTGCTGACATTTATCTGATGCTTGATAAATTAAATGAATTTGAAATATTTCTGGTTCTATTATTCTCTCCAAGTCATAATAGTTCAATTTTTTGATTTTCAAAAATACGAAAGCAATGACTACATATTCGTATGTATTATGATATCAGCAGAAATCTAACTTTCTCTGAAATCTGTCTATCTGCGGAGGTATTTTTGTGCTGAAGCCTCCCTCTTCCCCTCCCTTCGAAAAATGGTGAATATAACGATGCTCTATGAAAAATATTAAAAAATCTCTAAAAATATTATTGTTCGTGTAATTACATTTAACAGAACTTCAAGAATCACTTAAACACCAATTCATATAGGTAGTTAGTTTCTTTCTTTTTCTTCCAAAATAATTATCATTTTGTATATTTATAAACCTTTCGGGCTGGAGCCTCCCCAAAATTCAATTTTGGATCCGCTAGTGCCGGGCTGTAGATCATTACTTTCATAATTATTGCTCCCCCTACCTGTTGTGGTCAGGGTATTCTATTTATAATAAAATGTATTCATTAAAGTGTTTATAAATCAAGATCCATGATCAAACCGCATTTTAATATACTTAATGCGATCAAGTAAATTTTATTCTTATAATAATACGAATTATATATAAGAGCCTTTCTAATTTTCTATAACCTATGGTTTTTTTTTTCTTACTGTTGTGGATAGTTGAGATTTGGATATTGAGATACTAGGAGTCACATCATGGGAGTCCAACATAAATGTATTAGTTTTACTTTTATTTTATTTTTTATTCAGTCAGAATTATTACAATTTTTAACACCTTAGGCATTTGTCGGATGCAAATTCTAGTCATGTAGTAATTGTTTAATTGAAAGATCTATATTTTTGACCGATTTCAAATATTCTTATAACTGAAGCTTGACTTAATTTTATGTATTATTTGTTACTTTTTCACAGAACTTTTAAATAAACAGAAAATTTTCTGTATAAAAATTATCAAGTTAAATCCTTTACTCAGAGTTTTTAAATCTAATGTGTAGACAAGATTTTTTTTCAATGTTTTGATCTATTAAAGAATATCTTATCTAAATATTTATACCACATTTATGAATATTCCTCATTTGCCCCTATAGAAATACCTTTTCAAATATCTTTGATTCTCAATTATCTCATCATAATTCATGATAAAGGCTATATTTCCAAATTAGATTCTTTTATGATGTGATGTTTAATTTTTATCTTTAAAATTTTCGAATGTTAATATTTTCAAACATTCTATAATATTTTGAAGTGAAAAATACAATGATTTTCTTTGAAAGTTACATGTTTTTCTTTCTGTTTAATATATAATTTAAAAGTTTGACCCTTAAAATAATAATAATTTTAATTATAACTTTTATCATTTTATCTTAAAATTAAATAAGAGATGATGGATGATTGACTACCATATAGTGTATCTGGAAATCAGTCTAAGTGACTTTAAAAACAAAACATTAAGCTAAGTTTTTTTATTGCAATCCTTCATGTTAAGCCCAAACATGTGGTCCATTAAGGATGGACCACATGTTTATTTGGTGGTAAGGATGCCCTCTTAGGAGAAGTCAGTAATTTAGATAGAAACTTTGTCGCAATAGTATTATAGGCTCCCTACCCTGAAGACCAAAGTGTCTGTAATAAACAACTTAGTTTAATGTTATATCTCTGTGTGCAGTAGTGGATCTAGGATTTATTTTGAGGCAACTAATACCGGGGGTTTCGGAGAATGGCGATACCTCACATAAAATAATGTTTTGTTTTTTTTCTTTCCTCCCGTGCCTTGCCTTTTTTGCTATTCAGGGTTTTTATAGGGTCAGGGGAGAGGGTGAGAGGTTAATACCAGAGTTAAATGACACCAGCACCGGGACCAGGCCATGTTGAACACGTTCATCCTACTTCCAATCCCTTAAATAATGGGGTTAAAGTTTTTAAATTGATTAGTAACTGTTGCAAAGTGTATACTTCGACCAATTAACCGAAATGCTTTTTAGTTATGATAAAAGTTTCCTAGATAATGGCCCAAATAGATTGAAAATGGCTGAAATATTTTTGATGAGAATAAAGAATGTTAAGAAAAAATCAATTTCAAAACTCGACTTGAATCTGTTAGTCTAATACCTAGGGAAGACGTTCGATAATTTAGAAATAAGTTATTTTTAAAGCCTTATTTTTCTGTTTTTAGAATCGCTATCTTCATTCACGAATATCATGATTGCACCCGAGGACGTGTTGAACTGGCTGGTCCTGCTTACTTGAATACCCATCTGGCAAGCCTTATTGGGTATAAGGTAGTAAATATATTATACACAGACTATAATGTTCGAGCGAAATTGATCCAGAGGGTGCAGTATATGGAAGGTTTACTCAAGTCTGCTGTCACTGAATCTGCCTAGTATTTTTTTTTACTGTAGCTGAAGATTGTTTTATTAGTTTGTATGAATAGTGATTGACCTCTTGTGGTTATTTATTACATAAATAATAGCTTCTTTTATTATTTAAGTTTATACATTCTTCAGAAACTAAGTGTATATTTGTTGTAATATTAATGTGTTAAAGTTGTTTTAACCATAGTTATTTCTGTTGATTTTTTTTCCTCATTTAATGATATGATTATTGCTTTTAACTTTTTGATTTCGTATATGAAAATAAGTGATGCCTTGTACCTATCAGAATTATTTACTATATTTAATTGATTAAAAATTAACTTACAGATTTCTGTTTGTTAAAGGATAATTTTCATGATACTCAAATTTTTAAGATTTTATTTTTTCTCAATCTCTATGGAATGTTTAACTTTAATTGTTTTCTTCAATAATAGTATAATTAACTTATAAAACTGATTTTAATAAATGTTATTTTTAATTTGTATATATTATGGTAATGAGTACATGGCTTAAAAATATCTTTTCAAGGATTAAAAATTATAGTTTAATTTAAAAACAAAATAAAACAATATTTATTTATTTTAATATTACTTGTATTTAAAAGAATAATAATTGTAGGTGAAGTTGGTTGTGTGGGAGGTGGGGAGATATGTTCATTAAAAAAAATCACAAATCATATGGTAAACTTATTTTAATAATTTACTTAATATTTATTTATGTCTTATTCTACATTTCCCAACTAACTTCTACTATAATTACTTCTATAGCCAATGTTACCTTCCCAATTAATGATAATAATCTAGCAATTTGTGCGTTTCTTTATATCAAAAGTTCATTTTATGTACAATATTTAGATGATAATTTATATATTCTCTACCAGATAGCAAGAATTACTTTGGCATGAAAACAAATCATTTTCTGTAATTCTCAATATTACTAAGGTAAGAAAGAAAGAAAGAATGAAAAGTAACTATTATTTACTAAAATTTAAAAAGTAAGGTAAGATTTCAACCTATGGCATTTAAAATTAAATACTATTCAATGTATGAAATACTAAACAAAATTTTTTTCTTCCACATCAAGCCTTTTTTTTTTTAATATTATCTTGAAACAAACAAAATTATTTACAAGGCTCTGCTCTTAATACAATTTTCAATAGTCATGAGAATGAATTATGAGAATTCAGATAACTACTTCAAACTAAGATACATCAAAGTGCTATTGACTACTTCCACTCCCTATAAGATACGTTTTTTAGACAAATATTTCAATATTGTTATGATTTATTTTTATCTTTACAAATATCAGTAATTTTTTTTCAAAAACATAGAAATTGGAAAAATAAGTCTAATTGTTTCTAATCAATTATCATTAGTTAATCATATTTCAATCAGGCTATAGTATGATACATAGTAAACAAAAACCTTTTTGACATATACTATCCTAAATCTTAATAGGTATTACCTATCAAGTTAAAAAATATATAATAGTTATTTTGAACATATTTATAATTTTTGTCCCTTAATTTTTACTGGATTTATACATCTAGAATTTAATTTCTAACAAATTTCTCAGTTTCGAGAAAAAAATACTATACTGAAATATTTTAATTATTCAATAACTATGTATGAGTCATCTATTTCCAAAGTGAGTCGTAATAATTGTTAATAATTTTTCAGGAACCAAGAAAAACTATATTTTCTATTGCAATTGTAATAGCAAAATCAGTATTTTATAAAAAATTCTTTATTTGTGCCACATATTTCTAAAAATCACTGATTATGTCAGTAGTGATGATAAAACATTTAAACTTGAATAGGGTTCCTTTTGGAAAGAAATTAACTTCAAGACACATTTTCTAATAAAAAAAGGGTTAATTGGGGTTTTCTTTAAGAGAGAAAAAAATGCTGTGTGATTCAAGAGGGTAGGGAGTTATAAACATTGAACTGTAAAAACTTTTTTTTTTTTACTATAATAGTACAATAAAATAAGGTGGCTGAATGGACTAAAGCGTGTGCATTGGACCGCTGTTGCCCGGCAACCTGATATATCAATCAAATGATATGAAAATAGTCACGAGTTCGCATCCCGGTGCTGATGGAGTCTTTTAAATCCCCGTCCACACTCCCTGGCCTGGGAAAAACCCGGAAGGGGTGAACCAAAAAAAAAAATACAATAAAATAAATTTATTTTTAATTTTCATTTGAATGAAATGGTAAAAAGTTTTTGATGTAGAGTCAAAAGCATTCTTTTTAAAGAATGCTAAAGAAATTCAAGTTTCAGTACATTACTTAAAAAAAAAAAAAAGCCGGTTTTGGTAATATACCTTTTTTCCTTACCACTTTTTTAAATATTTAGATTCGTTTTTGAAAACAAATAATTGCTCCATTGGATTCATAGGATTTTTTTGCATGAGAATTGATACTTCCCTCAATTGCCATAAAAATCTATTAGAATTAACATAGGGAATAAGCAACTCATATACACTAAACATTCAAATAAAATACAGTTTAATTTTTATGGTTGCATCAGATTCTAAGACATTTAAATCTAAATTTCATCTATTGATTTTATATATTTTTTACATAAAAAATTTGTATATTGGATGAAGACATGTCTTTGTAAAACACATGTAGCATGTACAAACAATATATATATATATATATATATATATATATATATATATATATATATATATATATATATAACAATTTTAGTTATTTTTGAACAAAGTAGTGCAAAGTTTTAGGTATCCTCAAATAATAAAGCAAGTTACATATTTCATGTAATATATTTACTTTAATTTTCAATATTACAAATGTACCAACATATTTCATTTAAAAAATAAAAATAAATCTTCAGTCCTTGAAATTTATTGCTTAATACATTTTTTTTATACCCCTAAAGGTCAAAACATTGGTGTACTAAATCACAATGTTTTGATGTATGGAGATTTTTAAAATAAAAATTCATGATCCTGAAATTAATTTGGTGTATAGAGATTTTCTATGTACTTCTACCAGTTGGATATATAGTTGGTGAACAGTAAGTACTAGAAAATATAATATAATTTTAACAAAACTAATATATTTTAGTTGTGTATATTAGAAAAGAAATTATGATAAAAAATATCTTTTCCTATGACCAAAACTTCATATTTAAAATCATGTACTTTTAATACTGTATTATATAATACAATATATATATATATATATATATATATATATATATATATATATATATATATATATAAACTTTTCTCAATTTATTTTATACTATACTTCTTTTTCATCATTTTTTTTTAAATAAAAAAAATAAATAAAAAGAATTATTTTTTTATAGGAAAACTTTTTTTATTTCTTAAGATTTTTTTACCTTTATAATATCATCTATTAAAATTTAATATTGTAATAGTTGTTTAAAATAGTAAATATATGTAAAGTTGTAGAATGTTATACAATATTAAATAAAGGGTGATAAGGATTGAAAAAATCTTATGAATAGAAAATGTTACAATAAACATGAATTATAAAAAAAAATATATTTAATTTAATGTAAATACATGCTAAAGGCTTAGTAGTATTGATATATAGGTCGTTAACTAATCTAAACTACTTCTAATGTTAATAATAAAGATGAAGGGTCCTAATTTTATGTTCGGAGAAAAAAGAACAAGTTCTTTATTACTTTCCTTTATTCTATATATAAAATATACTGTGAGGAAAAGTATTGCGATTGTGAAAAATTTTGAATCTTAAGTTTTCAAGGGTGTTTGTGTGTGAATGGCCTTGCTTTAAAATGATAACTGAACTCATATATTTCAAGTAGGTATATGCCTAGGATGTTACAGTAGATTTTTCATCAAAATTGATTTTAGATATTTTTACAATCATCTCGAAAATGGCTGTAATGATTTTGCTTAAGTTCTTCTTACCTGCATACAATTTAATGGTTTTTAATATTATAGATGGAGCTTAAAGATTGAATTTTCAGACATTTTTCCTCTAAAGTACGTTTAGTTTTGTTTATTCGAAATGATTAACCATCTCATATTGTCAGTCATGATAAAAATTGGATTTTTTTTTGTTTCTGATTCTTGAAAAGTTAGATTTCAAAAGCAGCCTGGTTGTAATTTTTGTCCGTAGGCTTTGCAAACAGTGGTATTGAAAGGTGAGAATAGAGGAAAGTCAGGATTTTTTTCCTGTAATGATTTAAAGTTTCACTTCATCATAGGGATTCAAACTAAATATCTGTATTCCCTTAGAAAAATATATGAATATAAACAATCAAAACAAATATTTTTCCAATAATTTTAATTTCAAATTTTGAATTGTAATAAATTTCATAGCCTTCTCCAGCAAATTTTTTATCCATGAATGAATTGAGTAGGATCAGAAATAGCTATTATTTGTAACTGTCATCATTTTCTGAACTACTGAGAAAGATTCAAAGGTTAGTGAACAGTACTGTAACCTCTTTTGTTCTCTAATTTTGTTAAACAATTGAGAAGGTTAAGTAAGTTAAACATATCTCAATCAAAGCCCAAAATATAGGAAGATTAGAAGGCTTATCTAACGAGCATTTATAAACAATGACTTTCTAGAACAAGAAAATCCAATAATTTAGTTAGAAATTCTTGGGTTGTGCTGCTATCTACAGCAAACTTTCATTCTTGTTCAGCCAATAGTGCAATCGGGATTAGTCACGTGGTACCCCCTCTCTAACAGGATTTGCTCCATCCAGTTGTGTGTGGGAATGCCCTGTCACCAGTGAATGTTTGTGGTTATATTTTTCGTTTTGTTGTAGGATTTTAATCAATGTAAGTAATTAAAACAACTATATAGTATTCTTAGATTAATTATGAATGTTACGTTGTCTTATTAAGGTGTATAGTATGTTTTTAGTCTCAAAGTTGAAACGGGTTCGATGCGTCGCCATTTTCTTAAGTGCTCTTCAATTATGTCGTAATTTGTAAAGGTTTTGAGCCTTTATTTGTTTCTTTACTAACT